CAATATTACTGGCACGACCTCAGGAAGGAGGAAGAAATCTACACCAAGCGCGTGAGCGGTGGCGGCAGTGTCATGATTTGGGCTGGCATGAGCGCTGATGGACGAAGCGAGCTTGCTATCCTTGAAGGAAAGCAAAACAGTGCAAGTTACTGTCGCACTCTTGACATGCACTTGTTGCCGTTTTTGGGAAACCTGCGTCGAAATTTTGGGGTTGTGGAGCCTATTTTTCAACAAGACAACGCTTCAATCCATGTGTCGCGAGCTACAAAAGCGCACATTGAGCGAAGCGGTGTTTTATTGATGGAATGGCCTGCTAAGAGCCCGGATTTAAACCCAATTGAAAACGTTTGGGGTCAATTGGCGTGGAAAGTTTACGAGAATGGCCGTCAATTTTCTACTGTGGACGAACTCAAGGCTCAAATTCGTGTTTCCTGGGATCAAATCAGCCAAGCCTATTTGCGTAAGCTTGTTGATGGAATGCCAACTAGGCAACTAGGCAACTAGGATGGCCCAAGTAGTGTTGAGAAACGGTAATGCAATTGATAAATAACTGCTCTGAAAAAAGTGCGTCTATAATTTGCATCACCCTGAAAAATGGTTTTTTGTAATTTTCAAAAATAGTACTTCGAATTTTAAAGTTTTGTCACCAACAATGTATTTCGAAACTTAAATAAAGTATCATATCAAATCAGTGAGCTTCAAATCGAAATAAGTTTTGAGAAATGTCAAAAATTCACGTGCGTCTATAGTTTACATCAGGACTGTACGAGAAATATTAGCGATATTATTGCGATGTTCATGCACAAACAAGAATACAAGCACGACTTCGGCGACGGAACCGATGAACCTGCCAGACCTGCAGCTCTTGATCGCAAGCCATACCGAGTTACGGAGTGGTCTGCATCGCGTGTGCGATCTCCTCCTAAAGAGGATGACGATGCAAAAGACGCTGACAACGGCGACGTGTACGAAGCATGCTCGTTGATCTTGCCTACGGGCACGGACGAGGCGCGGCCAACTTCAATCCCGGGGAAGAGTTGTGTCCACCTAAAGCAGCCACACCCATGACAGCGAAACCACCACGCTCGTCGTTTGAGCTACGGCAAATGGAACAACTACAGCGACTTCGGGATCAAGTCGACGCCTTGAAAGCACGCAATTCGTCGCCAAACAAACCGCCAGCATCGCCGTCGAGAACATGTCGTTCTGGGAACGCACGGCAAAGCGGATGCGCATGGAGATGATCAAAGCCACGCATGAACAAGAACAATTCCAGGAAACGTTACATGAGCAGACCACGTTCATCCATCAAATTCCTTCCTTGTACATCTTCTGCGACGATCACGAAGCTCCATGCAGATGGTGAGGCGTGGCAGGTGTCGTCGGCCTCCGTCCGCGTCGGACTGCTTGGTCTCCAGGAGGACGACGACTTGTTCCAAGCGAAACTTCTGTCAAATGCAAATTTGCCTATATATTTGGGATTGATATAACGCCCACTAACCTAGCAAAGGAGTATGATTGGCTACAAAGAATGAAGGTTGCAATTTGATTGGCTAATAAGATTGATTGAAGCCTTGCTCAACTTGCTGTACTGTTAGTTTTATAAAATTTCGAAGGTCCGGCGATTTTTCGGCGGAGGAAATTATGAGTATTTAGAACACACAATAATAATTTCATGGCGGGAAAGTGCCAAGTTGAAGTTTGCACATCCAAGTGACATGCGTACTTAAATGACACATGGTCGTACTTAATAAAACATATTGCGAATCAAATCGAACAAGGTGGGCCACTTCAGGATGTCGCTTCCAGTTATTGATGCGGCGGATGATGGCAATGGCGGCGATGGTGGTTCCATGGACGATTGCTGGGATGTGATGAAGGATCTCCAGTTCCTCATCGCCACAGACGAACAACTCCAAGACGAACTCGCACAAGTCTGTGAGATCTTGGATTCGGATCAAGCAAGTACATCCGTTTCTTGCGCCCCCGACTCGGAGGAGGCCGCGACGTCGGCAGCGTCGAGTCTGCTTCGCCGGTCGTCGCGCCTTGACGAGGATTCCTCCTCCACCGATGGAGTTTCACGTTCTAAGGTAGCGACGACGTTGCCCTCAACCTTGTCGACGAAGCGCAAAGTGGCGGCGGCCATTCTACCAGAGAAGGGCAAGCCCAAGCCGATGCGGTCGTCGGTGCGGCAGCGCGAAGAGATCCATTTGCTGCGACGACAGATCAACGAGCTCACGAGTCGTCTTCACGCCAAGGAGACGACGGACATGACCACGTTAGACATGTCATTGTGGGAACGCACGGCGAAACTCGAGTGCATCGAAAAGAACAAGGCCGTACACGAGAATGAGCAGCTCAAGGACGCCGTGTACCAGCAGGCCACGTTCATCGAGCAGATGCAGCGCGTGCTCCGCAAGAAGCCCCGCATCGGGGTAATAACCCCTCTTGACCCCTCCCCCCCCTCACATGCCCACGGGTGTGTGTGTCCCTCTCTACTAGGCCAACATCATGGACATCCATTCCGACGACTGGCAGGCGTACAAGTTGGCGGCGCAGGTGTCCCTTCGAGAGGCGGCGATCCATGCGATCGCAGATCGGCAGTACCGCCGCATGCAGAGCGCGTTTATAAAGGCCGGCGTGTTCCACCGAGACCGGTGTCTGTTCCAAATCCAAGCGATTCCACAGCCAGACAACTCGTTCTTGGTCGAGATGGTCACACACTTGACGTTGGACGCGCCGTTTCGACTCGTGGCCGCGCAGGCGTGGCAAGTGTGCGACGGCGAGCTTGCGATCGACCTGCCCGAAGGCGCCGCTGAGGTAGGGGTCATCTGGCGACCACGAAATGGATGGCTGAGAACGCTCCTAGACATTCCAACACATTGACCCGTATACAGTGTACGGCACGCTGCTGCTTCCGCACATGGGCGTGCAATGCCACTCGAACACCATACGAAAGTACTACATCGAGCAGGATCGCCATGTGATACTGTCACGGTCGGTCTTGGAGGATGCCGCCGTGCCGCACATGTCGAAAGGGGCCGTCGAAAACCGAACCATGTGGTATATATATATATATTTCCCAAGCATATATATATATATCAAGCCCATGGAATCGTCCAAGAGGCGACTACAGGAGGGCTAGGACGACGCTTGCATAATGTTTCATTTTGATGACGGTTAGGTTGCAAGTGACACCGTTGCCAGACGACTCAAATCAGTGCCGCTTCACGCTGCTGCAGCAATTAGTGTGGCCCGTGGAGGACTTTGCCAAGGAAGAACATGGGCTGGACAACGTCGTGACTGCCATGAAGCGCGTGTGTTTTGGCCAAGAGGTGCGACCGGGGACGCTACCGATGGCCGAGTGGCAGATGGATCTGACCAAGCTGCCGTATCCGAGCATGGGCGCATTTGCCGAGCGAGGGCGGCGGTTCGTGCGGCTGCTCAAATCCAAAGTGAACGAAGCGATTGAATCGTTCCACGGCCAACAACACGACACAGACCCGTTGCTTGTGTGATATATGTTTAATACAACGAGTAATAAGGATAATAATACTGTAACTACATAATTGCAGGTTTGAGGCTATATGGATACCACAAAAGTGTGATGCAGTTTGACGTACTACGTTTGAGGCTATATGTATATATATATGACAAAAGTGCACAGCTGTTTGATGTACTAAGCGGATTGTCATATTGATATAGCCGTGGAGGGTGCCGTTGGTCTGATGTAGGTTAGTGCTGTAGGAAATGTAGTTTTACTACGAGAATTCCATCACTTTCCAATCTATTCCACGATTGCTCCAGTTTGGTAGCGCTTTCTGGTTCGGCGGCAAGGACTTACACCGAGGGGCATAGCTCAGAGGTAGTAAGGGTACTCAAACAAGTTGGGGCAAAGGTTCAGCTCCGACCTTCCAAGCGACTAGATTCGAGTTTTCAATTGCCCAAGAGTTCGTTCCCACTACAGGCAGTATAGTCAGTGTATCTGGCGAGAAAGGAGAAGGTGAATGTACCGGTCAATCTAGGTTTCTCGTGTATGGCCTGTTGAAGAGCGATTGAATGAACACTGCGTGGTGGCGAAGTTGATTGTTGTCGTCCCTAGATTAGGACATGTCGTCAGCTTCTGCTTTCGCCAAGTGCTCCCAGAATGAAACTGGTCGAGTCAGAAGTTCTGACACCTGCGCTTCTAATATAGACACGTCGGCTCGCGATCAAACGATCTCGTGTTTGCGAATACGTACGTTTGTGATTTACTGTCTGGTGGGTTCGTGTTGTGGATGTCGTTTCGTTATTTGGTAAGTGGATCAACTGCTTCATCTGTAAATGACGACATGACTTCGTCGGGTGTGGTATGTTCTGTCTCTGACAAAAGGTGTAACATTAGGCCGTGGAGGAACATCCTGAGATTTGCGTCGGCATCGTCGGCAGCAGATTGACTGCTTTGCTGGTGACCTTATCCTGGAGCTGCTTTCTGCACTGCATCCAGAAAGCAGTTCCAGGCTAAGGTCACCAGAAGTTACAACGTCGTGAGCATCGACATCTGCTTATTTTACAGGTAAATTATCAACATTGAGCACAGTTTCAACGGCCTCGTGGCGTTACGTTCGTGAAATGCCTACAGATTGCACAATGGACGAGTTCTCGGGGGCGGTGTCCATGTGATTGGTTGGGGGATCCACGTATCTAGTACACGTTCAAACTCAAATTAGTTCAAACCACTCATATTTATATGGGATACAGTATCATGGATTGTTCGTACTCCACATAAGGCGTGACATCGTCGTCGCTCTCGTCGCCGACCAACCTACATCGTTTCGTCGCCATGGGAGCCTCATATTCGTCTTGTGCATGTCCATTCGGCAAGCTGCGGACAGGCGCAGAACCAGCATTCATTCAACGCAGGTCTCGACCTACACCGTCAATCTGTCGTCGTCAATCGTTACTCCGGCGTAGTATGTGCCTGCGGTGTCGACGTTGCACATAAAAACTTGGTGGAAATCCATTTGAATGGCGTCCTGTTGCGTGTACTCGTATCGAAATGCTCGCAGGAGGCGCCACGTTACAGTCAGTCCTTGACGCCACATCCTCGTTGGCGCCACAGCATTATTGTGAATGAAACTGTTGAAGTTCAAAGACCGACATTGCGATTTCGGAATGAAGGTCTCTTTGGTCCACAGGTTTGTCCCATGGGTCAAACATAGTGATTTGTGAAGATCCTTCAACATTGCTAACGTCAGAGAGCCCCATTTTCACCCTAAGGAGCTGGGCATATCCTCCACTGGTTCGCTTATCCAACTAACAAGTCGAAGGATGGAGGATCATGCAAAAATATCGACGATCATGCAAAAATATCGAGGATCATGCAAAAATACATATATTGCGTCGAATGTGGGTATCCAAGACCTTGTTTGTCCCGAGATTCGACAAATACTCGTTGCGGATTGGTTACGCTTTGATTTGTCTCATACGTAGCCGCCACAGCGCCGGCCACTTTCAATTGTCTCCTGTACATGGCACCATGCCCGACACGACGTGGAACATCATGCAAGATCTTCAGTTCCTGATTGCCCCAGACGACGAACTGCAAGATGAATTCGCGCTTGTGTGCGATCGCCTGGACAGCGACCCTTGCACCGACGACCTGCGGGAGCCATCCGCGCCCCCAAAGCGCCGACGAAAGCGTCGTAATCGCGTGGATAACTACAAGATTGAGATCACATTGCTGCGTGCCCAAGTGGAAACCCTCACGTCCGAGTTGGAAGTGATGAAAGCGAAGTATCCCATGATATACATACCCGCGTGGAAGATGGCAGCTAGGAGGCTGCGCGTCGAAGCCATGCGATGTCAGGTCGAGAACGAGGCGTTGCGGGCAGCAGTGGACGAGCGCGGGTCGTTCCTTGACAACATGAAGCGACTGTTGCACAAGAAGCCTAGATGGAGCCTAAGTTGACGTTCAATATAACACCAGTTAAGATAACATAGTCGTCCCATCCGTCCTTCGAACGACGGCTTGTCGAGTTACAAACTGGCGGCCCAGATGTCCCTTCGCATCATTTCCATCCACGCCATTGCCGACCGGCAAAACGGGGGTTCATTGCAGCTGGCCTCGTGGACAATGTCGATGATGTTACCCAGGTGATGCCAACGCCACTTTGAACATCCTTCATCATGACATATCATGTTTGGTCATCTCCGTGACGTTACCAAATCATGGCGTGGCCTAGCAAGCAGTTCAAGTGGTCACGCTCGATGAATCCTGGCACGTTGTCACTTCGGCGATTTGGGAAGTAGTCACGAAATCTGGTGGCTTTATGGCACCAGACAATGCCGTTGTGGTAATTCTATGTCAATTCCCTATATTCCACATGAAAACGACAAGAAACTGGATGAAATGCTGAGGTAGATTGTCGACCACATCAACGACCACACCGTGTACGACTGGTTCCTTGTGCCGACTATTCCAACAACTTCTACTAACTGTAGGGGAAGTCCACCGTAGTGTGATGGCGCCGCATACCGGTATGTCCAAAGGGGCGGTGGACGACTCGTGGGGTTACTCCTTCGTTCTCCCTACGAGTGCTACGCAAAAGCCAGAGCTTTTGAATGAAGTTGGCATTGGATTGAAGCCACGCCCCACCCGACCGACTCGACGCCTCTCGTACTTGCTACAGGTACCGTCCAAGCGGCTGCCACACGAAGCAACCAATCCCCGTGAACGAGTAGGTCCAGCGGTGGTCTTTTGCGCAGCCAGACGACACTGTGTCGTATCCTGCGATTTGAGCCGTGTTGGAGCGAGCAAAGGCGTTGCGGGAAGCAGTCGCAACGCATAGGACCAATGCAGGGACAAGAAGTGGGGTGGCGAATACGATTTTTCTACTACTATAGTGTAGTGGTTAGTAAAAATGGATTGTGACTACTGGTTCAGCGTTGTCACGATTTCATTTTCTATCGTTTGGTACGAATTAGACCTCTGACAAAAGCGGCCCCTATTTACGGTATATTACTGGTACTGTAGTACAGTATGTACTAATACTACGTAGTACTAGTAGTTAGGATCACAAAATGGTAGACTCGTGGCCTTGAAAACTAAAAAAGTGCGATACTTCTCGATTTATGCGTGTCATCCTTGCGCAGGGGCCATGCTAATCTTCTCTGTATCGTTCCAATTTTTACGGATGACCCCCGAAGGGGTTCCTATTGGTCACTAAATGTTAGTCGTACCAGTCATGTCAATTGGTCCCGAGTTCGATCCCCTCCTAGTACAGTAGCACTGACCTAGAAATTCAATTCTTATCCAAGTTGGATGCGATCAATCTACATCGAATAAATACAAGGTTGCATGTCCCGCCATGTAAAATAGGAACGGGGCTCGTGTCGCCCTCGCGCGGCAACCCAAGCGCAATAACGCCCGGCTGTTTCAAGAGAAAACCCCACCGAGTGCTTGGAAAGGCAACTTCGTTTTTGCGAGATGAGAACAACTTTGGACTCATTTTAGATTACTGTGTTTAAGGTCGCCTGGCCGTAGCGGGTTCTGCGTTGGGTGGCGAGGGCGCGCTCCGGCATGAGCGGTCGCGATGGCAGCATTCAGCGACGCTTTGATGGCCAGTTCAAAGTCCTTCCCCCGCGGGAGGAATGTGCCCATGCTGGGCACGGGCGTGGAGATCGCAGTCAAGTCCAGCGTCTGGGCATGCTGGATGTGCATGGTCGTGCGTGGCGTCGGTTGGGCCGACGACACAAACGACATCGTGTGCAAGACCGATATGATCTCTTCCATGTCGTAATGTGTTGGTGGCGTGCTCATGCTCGCTCCATGAGCTTCCAAGGGAACTTGAAACACGCTAGTGAAGCGACACATGGCGGATGGGGCGTCCGGATGCGGCCTCGCCACCATCCTGCGACAACGTCAGATGATGTCAACCTCCGGATAAAAAAGGTCGTACCATCCGGCCATGTCGTCGACCAATGTCGGAGTGGCAGTGTCCACGGGGTACGCGGCGTCGTGGAGCACCGTGCGGCAGATCACCACGTCCTTGTCCGGGCCTCGAAACAGCTTTCGGATCGTGTTGGACACGAGGCGCTCGTCCAGTGATTGTAGCTGATTGAATCGTTCGTAGATTGTGTGGTCGTCAATTCGTTCCAGCGTCTAGACACAAGGGGGAGTTTGTTTTAAATAACTTTCCAGGACATCGAAGTGGAGAGGTTAGTTACTTCATGCGCATGAGAGGGCAATGGCGGCCGCCGCGGGCCACCCCCGACCGCGTCCCAGCATGCCGTCGCGGCTACGTGGTGTGGAATCGGGAGATTCACGTGGTTGATGACTTGCAATCCGGGGCGGTTGTCGGCCAATGTGATGGGCGTCGCCGCGTACAAGTCGGTTTCTTGGTCGAGGATGCCCGCTTGGATCAATATTTGGACATGCCGGCGGCGTTGTCGATCTGAAATGGCGTGGATGGCGGCAATCCGATGCACCGGATCCACGGGAAGGTGGAACTGCCTCCAAAGGTGGTCGGAAAGAAATGGCATGAGATTGCTCTAACGCTGTCGTCACATGGAAACACTCTTTCTCATGTGAACATAGCGGGAAATGCACCGTGAATCGATTGATTTTCTTGAGGAAGATGCGCCGGAGGTGCTCGATGGACTCGGCGCGGTCGTTGACGGCGGTGCGGAGCGCGTGGTTCTCGTCCTTGGCTCTTCGTGCTTCGATCCGTTCGTGACGGGCTGCGGCCGCCCATATCGCCATAGCATGCTTCAATGGAGTAGTGGTCGAATGAACGTCTGTGAGAGCTTGTAGCTGCCGTGTGAGGTCGTCGAACGTCCTCCGCAATGTCGCGAGTTCGTCCTTGACAGCGTTTGGTCGACGACGCTTTGCCTTTCTTGGTGACGCGGCGAGATTGAAGGTCCCCAGAGCATGCTGGTCCAGGAAGGTGCTGTCATGTAAAGGGTGGTCTTGCTGCAGGAGTAGTCCGTCGATGGCGGCGTCGAAGCAGATGCTGTCGTCCCAGAAATCACCTCGTTCAACCATGGCATGAATCACAATACACAATTGCAAACCTATGTTAGTGCGATCCATGTCTTCAGCTTAATATACAATATATAAGCATGTAATGACTTATCTAAAACAATACTTTATTGACATTATGTTCTATGGGCTAACAATATATGCATACGAACATTGCAACACCATTGCGGATTTCCAGACCGCGTAGCCGACCTACGCGCCCTTTGGAAGTGTACAGCATACTAGTAATAAATATATCATCTGAATGTTTGCTCTTTTCCTTGATCTCCAGTGCGTCACATGAATCCATCCATTTACACTGTTATGACGTGGCAAAGCGAGCGACGGCGTCGTTCAACGACGCTTTCATAGCGGTCTCAAACAGTCTGCCTCGTTCCAGGAAGGTGCGCATGGCTGGCAGTATATTGTCATTCCGTGGTATGTTGTTGGGTTTGTGTTTGTCCGGCGAACGGGTGGCTGTGGTGGCTCCTCTAGTCAGCGAATGAATGGCCGACAAGATCGCTTCCATGGTTTGGCTGTGGTCGCGCTGGTCGGGCCGCGCGCGGGCGTCTGTTGAGTCGTGCTGCGGCGCCACCCTCGTATCCAGCGGAATTTGCACCAAGCACGTCATCCTGCACTTAGTCTGGTCTTGTGGATGGGGGGCCACCACCAGCCTACGATGCTTGTGAGTCACCCGTTTTCTATCTGTTGGTAATGGTGTGCATGTTACCAGCCCCACGTGTCGTCCACGGCATCCCTGGACATGTGGGGAACCAGCGCATCATCGAGCACTGTCCGCCACACAATCACATCGCGGCCGTCGTCGTCCTTGAACAGTTTGCGGATGTTGTTCGAGTGGCCTGTGATGTCGCCTTGGATGTGGCAGAAGCGTTCGTAGATGGTGTGCGCGTCCACCTCTTCGATTGTCTAACCATTGATGAGCATCCCCATCCTACACACTTGCGTCATGACACGAAGCCTACCTCGGTCGAGTTTTCTGGCAGAGGCAGCGCGCTTCGATGTTTACCCCCGCGAAAGGTCCGCCAACATGCAGCACTGACTGCCGACGCCGGTGCGGGGAAGTTGACGTGGTTGATCACTTGCAGCATGACGTGATCGGGCAACGTCACTGGCTCCGCGCGGAAGAGGTCGTCCGTGCGGTCCAGGATGCCTGCTTGGATGAAAGCGTGGGGCTGTCGTCGGAACTGCCGATCTGCGATAGCGTGAATGGACGCAGTGCGCAACGACGGCTGCGCCGCGAGTTTGTACGACTGCCACGCGTCCACGGTGGCGTTGGGAAGCGCCTAGAGATCGAGACACGAAGCTTTTACATCGTCATGTGAGCGAATCATAGGGGTACCATCCAACGGGGTTTTCGACATAGCGTGCGCTGCATGTGTTGGATGAAGGCGGCACGCTCGTGTACGGCCGCGCGGAGGTCCGAGTTGTCCTGGATCGATCGATTCTTCTCCACACGCTCGCGACGCGCAGCTTTCTCCCACAATGGCATGTGCATGGCACTGCTGGAAGCCTTGGCACGTGCAAGGTCGCTCTTGAGGTCCTCGACCTGCTCGCGGAGACGAGATAGCTCCGCGCGGTGATGATAGTCGCGCAGTGGGCGGCGCCGTTTGGCGGCTGGTGGGATGCTGCTGCGGTCACGCGACTCGGCGTCGTTAGGAGTGCCGCCGCACATGACAGAGAGCTCGTTGTACTGGGTTGGATCGTCGATGAGGAACTGCAGATCCTGCATGACGTCCCAAGCAGCCGCGGAGGAGTCTGCAGAAGGCGGGGCAGCCATCGCGAGCACGTTTGCAGGAGTTGGTTCCATGCATAGTTGACAAGCGTTTGATTGGTTCATTTTATACCTACCCAACCTGATTCGAAAACGGGTTTAAAACGCGTTTGAAACGACAACGTTCGATGACGTGGCGCTCTGTGGGCACAGTAAATCATTCCCTCAACCAATGACTACAAACGTCAACGACAACACATGGACAACATACTCTCTGACGTTAACGTTAGCATTTCCCATTACAATGTCATCATTAGGCTACTAGGCAGTCATTGTGACGACGAATCTATTTACAGAGCCACATTTTGAATCGAAGTAACATTCTATAATTTAACTCTGATTGGCCTATATACTTCGAAATTCGATTTCAATGACAAATCAAAACAACTGATTTGTCATAGCTTACTCGGATTGGCCATAATACATAATCGTTGTCTGTACAATAGTATTGTGCATTTCACGCAATATTTGATCAAATTTAAGCTTGTACAAACTATGCAATACAAAAATTAGCATTTATGTATTTTTGGCCAATGAAGAGGATCTGGGATGAATAAAGCGTTTGGATTGGCAGAAACATGATTTGATTGGCTTAGGCGGTTCTTTAATCTCATGACATTCAATTCTGCTGAGCGCTCCAGTTTCGAATCGATTTGACAATAGCTATGGCGACCAAATTCGTGCACGTTACGTTACCTAGGACTAGGCACGGCCTTTTCCCAAAGGTGTTGAACGTGCCTCGCGCCGTCACCCCATGATTCGCGAGGTACTAACTCGAACTTGCAGGATTCCTCGACTTTGGACGATTGTGATTGGTGGAAACTCTGTCAAGTTATTGCATTCCTGTGACCTAAATTTGACAACGAACATGGCGAACAAGCCGACCGCGACGGTCGACGCAACAAGTGCTATCTTTGGTGGCATTGTCGGTGGTGCCGTGGAGCCAACATCACCGTCGGCTGCGGTGACTCCGGACGAAGCGTGGAACATCATGGAGGACTTGGAATTCCTGATTGCAACCGACAACGACCTCCACGACGAATTCTCCCACGTGTGTGAGCTGTTGGACAACAGCTTCCCCATTGACGACATTCTTCCCAGCAGCAGCGAACTCATAACCGAAGCCATCGTTTCGGACTCGACATCCAAGGACGCCACCTCGCCGCTGTCCACCGCGACTGCCGGTAGTCCACAAGAGCAGACGCTGCTACTAGTACCGCAGCATCCACATCGGAGAAAACGTGTCAACCACCAAAAGGAAGAAATCCGGTTTCTGCAAAAGCAAGTCGTGGCGTTGCAAGCGAAACTCGTCCACGACAAGAAATGTGCGGCAAGTGCGTTCAACATGACGGCATGGGAGGCGGCGGCGCGGCACGAACGCGTCGAGAAGCGGCGGGCGATTATCGAGAACCAACACTTGTACGCGTCGGTAGCGGAAGGCAGCATGTTCATCCAGCACATGCAGTCCATGATGCGCAAGAAACCCCGATGGACCACGGTAAGGAGCACAACATGTTGATTCTGTTGCTGTCTGACCTCCTATGGCAGTCGCTGGCAGAGGCTGGCGGCGTGGACGACTGGCAACAGTACAAGCTCGCAGCGCAAGCCAACCTTCGCACCGCGGCGATCCACGCCATAGCTGACCGGCAGTTCCGCCGACAAACAAACGCATTCATATTGGCCCAGGTCGTCGGCCAGACACACGACCTTTTCCGCGCCACCCCCAAGACACTCGCAAGCGGCCAAGTGGTGCTGGAAGTTGTTAACCACACCACATTGAAGCTCCCGTATCGCATTGCCATGAATGCTGTGTGGCGCACGTTTCGCGGCGACCTGGGCCCGATGCTGCTCGACGAGGCATGTTCCGAGGTGAGTATGCCTATTCCTTTCGTCCACACTTGATTTATCACCATGTTTGTTGTGTTGTATTTGCTATATATATGTGATACATTCACACAAATATAGCAATATATATATCTGTGTGAATGAATGAGGAATGCAGGTCTTTTCGTTCGATGGACATGTATAAATGCGATTTTTGCTGTTTTTTGTTTATGTTTTATTCCCGTGAAAAAATCCTATTTTTGGTGGCCCACTTTCGAAATTCAACACACGTGATTACTCGTTCAAAGGATCCTTCCTTGTTTCGTTTGTGAATAGTGAATCTATAATATTAAAAAAAATAAAAATATTTCTAAAACAATATATAATATTTTATTTTGAAGGAAAAAAAACGTTTTTAACATTTATAAACCAAAATAATAATTATGGGGCGATATCGTAGACGATGGAAAACATTGACGAGTGTACACGGTACGAGCGCTTTTCCCAGCGCCGTTCGGGGGCCGATTCGTCTGTCTTGTTCACCAACACAATCCTCAAGCTGTACCAAGAGCATGATCGCGATGTGCTCGTGTTTCGATCTGTGTTGGAAGACGAGCTCGAGCCACACATGACGCGCCGCAGTGTCGACGACATGGCGGGATGGTAGACATATGTAGTTAGCACTGAGTTCACGTTCTTCTTTCAAAAGCGAGTGACAACACCTGTAGGCTCGTGACCACGGCTGACTCCAAACTCACGAATCAGTGTGGCTTGACCAGTGTAATCCACATGCCCTTGGCTTCCAAGGTCGAAGTCCACGGGCTGGTGCACGCGTTGCAAACGTTCTCGTTCGGGCCCATGTCCGACACGACTGTGCCCGTCGTGCGTGACCGAGAAGCGTTCTTCCAACGAGCCAAAATGTTTGACACTGCCATGAAAGGGGCCTTGCACGAAGCCACGACAGAGTTTTATGCTACCTCTGTGCAAAAGTAGCTGCAACACGTTCGCAACAGGTCCTCATAGATTTCTCATCCAAACTAGGAGTTTACCTCTCATACAGTACGTCGGCATACTTTTGAACCGGGTTTTTCGAAAGGTATCCGAAATGACCTGGAAATAACTCTAATTCGGCATTTATTGTTGTCCACAGAATATCCTTGAAATACTGCATGAATGATGATGTTCAATTAGCACTGTAGTTCAGTATCATTTTTAAAGGTTAATATACTATGTACTTTGAAGTATGTGGTAACTGTAAAGTCAAGTCTACTGTATAAAATGATAAGTTTTACGGTAAGTGAAGTATTGTTGCAGATACTACTTTCAGACAGAGGTACAGTAAGACGCAGTAGTATTGTTCATTTCACCCAAATTTGGCCTTGAGAGTCATTTCGCCAAATAGCTTTTGAATCAATTTGATCCTGTTTAATCTTGTACGCACTAACGTTATACAACGATTAGTATATATTGGTTTGCCAAATGCGGAGGGGTCAAGCGTTCGGATTGGCAGAAATTCTACATGACGTGATTTGATTGGCTCGGGAGGTCCTTTAATCGATTCTTCTAATCTCCAGTATCGAAGTGACTTGACATAACGCTGACACTTGAGTATATGATATATCTTATTCATTCTCATTGTTAAAACGTAAATGACGTTATCCGAAAATCGACGTCAACGTTACAAAAAGTCGGGATATTATCCGTCGTCATATTAGACGCGGGGATTATCCGGATTCCTGACAGGCGCGGATTCCTTGTGTCGGGCCGAACACAGGCGATTTCACTATTTGGATATATCATGGACGACGAGTCATGGGACGTCGAGTCGGACCTGCACTTCCTCTTCGCCAATGACGTAGAGCTGCAGACTGACCTGGCTGCCGTGTGTGACCTGCTGGACAAGAGCGAGTCGGAATCGGCGGCGGCGTCCGTGTCATCCGCCACCGCTACTAAGAGGAAACGGAAGCCGTCGACGGCACCGTCCGGGGCTCGCAACCCCCATCAATCCAGACAACGCCAAGAGCTAGAGGACCTGCAGCGCCAAGTCCTGGAACTCAAGAGCAAGCTGGACGAGGCCAAGCTACACGCTGCGTTCAAGCAGGAGATGTCCCCTGCGGAATCGCTGGCGAGGCTGCGCCAAGCCGACGCCGCCTTGTCGTTGAAGGAGAACAAACAGCTGAAAGATGCACTGGATGTTCAGAATTCATTCATTGGCAAGCTAGGCGCGTGCCTACGGAAGAAACCTCGGCATGAGGTGAGCACTCTCATTATTCCGTCCGTTACTGAGATCCATGTTATAGATACTATCCAGCGACGACTGGAGAGTGTACAAGCTAGCAGCGCAGAAATCCCTTCGAGAAGCAGCGATCCGCGCCATCGCCGACCGCCAGCTCCGTCGGAAGGACTCGGCGTTCATCAACGCCGGACTGATGGACTGCACCGAGTACGTGTTCCGGTCGCGCACGATCAAGTCTCAAAACCCCCACGCAGTGACGTTGGAAGTCACGATGAACGTCGAGCTCGCGGCCCCTCGTGACGTTATCAGCGGCGCCGTGTGGCACGTGTTTAGCTGCGACACGCCGCCTGGTATGTCACAGCACACCACCGTGGTACGGTCCACTGGAATCCTCTGTAGTAGTACTATAGTAGTGCAATCTCAATCCAACGGGTTTTTGTGTCAGTTTCAAGAACGATTGGACGCGTTTACATTGTACGAACAGTTTTCCGAGGTCGCCGCGGGGGGCGCCATGACGCACTCCAACTTGGTGCGGAAATTCTACGGGCATGACAACCACGACCAAGACCATGTGATACTGTGGCGATCGGTGCTCGAAGATGCAATGGTTCCGCACATGGCAGACGGCACCGTGGAAGACGAGTGTGGCTGGTGCGTACGTTGTTGGTTGAAGAGTATTTTTCGTATCATAGGTGCCCTAGGATTGCCATCTCGCCCATCGATGCCACGTCCTGTCGCCTGGCGTTCCTACTGCATGCAGTGTTCGATCCCACAACGCTACCCCGCGGAGCTGTCGACCAGCGGTCGGTGGAAGCCATGACGGCAGCCGTGGACAAGCTGAACGTGGTGGACGTGCCCCGCATTAACGACGGCACGTTCCCCAGCCCCACCAAGCCAACACTTCCGAGCCCGCCGCAGCTGGCCGAGTACGCGCCGTTCATTGAACGAGGCAACCAGTTTGAAATCGCCTTGAGCGTGGCAGTCAACGCCGCGATTCAGAAGTTTCAGAATGGACTCTGTCGCATATCGCAATAAACTGCACTGTAGTCATGTTTCTGCTATTACTGTATTAATCTGGGAAACAGTTAGAATCACGCATGTCGAACGCCGTGGTATGCCAGCCTGACATGACCAGACTGGTTGTGGCGCGCTGGCGTCGGCGGCGCCACGGACGTTTCATGTTGCCGTCGTTTGTCGATGTGGCTGCTCGTCTTGGATGCCTCAATCGTGTCCTTGAACTCGAGTTGACGTTGGTGGACGAGACCAACGTTGGCCGATTTCGTCATCTATGTATATATCCAGGATAGTACGTCGCTTGATGTCGTACTGCTTGGCGATCTAATGCTTCGGTGCCTTGCCAGTAGATATGGCCTCAGCCACCGTGAGCTTGAATGCATACGTGTACGACACTTTATACCCTTCGAGCCCTTGAGTGCCGGTGGAAGGTCGGGTGGCGCTGACAAGAACTCAGGAGTGGCGGTGTACAACACGCCGGGGACGAAGTTTGCCTAGTCCAGTCAGATATGACACAGTTATGGGGTTGGGTGACATGGGCTCGGGTGTCGTCAACGAGTTTGAAATCGCCTTGGCGGGATTGCCGCCATCCAGAGTACTTTTTCGCTGTTGGGATAAAAATTCGTGAGTGATATTTAACGTTTTTGTGTCGAAATTTGGCTCATTTTTGAAATAAATTTGTTGAAAAGTTGTACGAAATGTGATGAAGACAACAACGTACTGCGGTGTAAACTTCAGCGATGAAAAACCTGACGGGTCCATTTGGAACAAATGACGACGACGACGACAATGGATGGTGTGGACTTGTGGGATATTGCGACAGACCTGCCCTTCTTGATCGCCAAGGACGATCAGCTCAGAGGCGAGCTCGCGTTCGTGTGCGACCTGCTGTCTACCGACATCCCAGACACCACGTCCGAGGCGGCGACAGAGGGAGGTGGTACGACGACGGCCGACGATTCCGACACCTCGGCGCCGACAACGGCACAGACAAAGCCCGCCACCAAGCGAAAGGTATCCAGCGCTCCCCCGGGCGCACGTAACCAGTACCAGTTCCGGCAAAAGCAGGAGATCCAGCTTCTGCAGACCCAAGTGGAGACGCTGCAAGACCAGATGGCGTCCGCGCGCGCCTCCGCGGCCCAAAAGCCCGACTTGCCGAAATGGGAACGAGCGGCTCGTGTGGAGCTGCAGGCGAAGCTTCGGTCCCTCGATGAAAACGAGCAGTTGAAGGCTGACATTGCCGTCCAGTCGACGTTTATCGGTGAAATGGAAAAGTACTTTCGCAAGAAACCTCGTTTGACGGTACCGTGGCATGTCATCGTGACGTGTTCAAATGTCACATATAGATGGACACAGACGTGCAGTCGGACGAGTGGCAGTCGTACAAGCTGGCGGCGCAAGCGTCCCTTCGATCCGCGGCGATCCATGCGATCGCGGACCGGCAGTACCGGCGGTTGGACACGGCGTTCATCAACGCCGGCTTGATCGGCATCACCACCAACCTATTTCGATACAAACCCATTCGCCAGCCCAACCACAAAGTGCTCGTCGAGCTCGTGAATCACGTGACGTTAGCGGCGCCGTTTCATGCGGTGGGGCTCGCGGCATGGCACACGTTTCACCTGCCTCACTTGTCCACCACGAGTTCGACCGTACGCCATATCCCCTCCTGTTTGAATCACGCGTGTTTATGTGACAGCGTGTTTTATGTGACAACGTTTCAATGTATATGGTTGGTAGTCGATTGAAGTAGTGGACCCCAACACCATGTACGAGCAATGCACGGAAACCAAGCATGGCGTGATATGTCATTCCAACACAATCTGCAAACTGTACACTGAACCCAACAAGCGGGATGTGATTGTGTGGCGCACCGTGCTCGAAGACGACCTGGCGCCGCACATGCTCCAAGGCGCCGTGGACGACCAGTGGGGATGGTAAACAATACTAGTACTTGTCCATCCAAGCGTGTGTGACGTGGTCGTAGGATTGTGTTGTCGCCCCTTGCAAACCCGAATCACTGCCGCCTCACGCTGCTCCTGCAAGTGCTTGCTCACGCCAGCGACGAAGCGCCCCCCCAGTTCAAACTGGACGCCACGGTCGATAGCATCACCACTGGGCTCGAGCTCGTGTCGTGCTCTGCCACACCTGGGTCCTTCCCCGGTGAACGACAGGAGGTCACGGAAGGCCTGCCGCCCGCGCTGCTCACGTTCATGGAGCGCGGCCGGCGGGTGGAACTCAGGCTGCGACGGGCAATCGACCGCGCCATTCGCGATTTCAACCATGGGGCCACCACCGCCATTCCCTCGGAGACAACATAACCCGGTTGGGAATTCATTATTTTAGTCGAGAAATAGTTGACACTTTGTAGCTCATTCATGTACACTGTAGTAGTATCCTCCTAGTATGTACTAGAACTCATTTGATGAATGCTGTTGTCAAGTCCATTCGAAATTGGAGTGGGGAATGAGCAGCACCAAATTGACAGACAATCGATCGACCAATCAAACCCCAGAACACGAATCAAGTAGCTAATCAAATCACTCTTCGACCAATTCAACATCGAATTAGTGTGTTTGACTCAAAATTAGTGAGACATTGTATGATTTTTACATACAAAATTCAGTACAAAGAAATTGATCGATAGATTTGGCATAGAATCAGCACAAAAGTCCTAAATTTGGTTAAAAGGATTATTGTCGATTTGATACAAATTTGGGGAGGGGGTGCAATCGAATCGCGCCAACCAAACCGATCCACAATCGATCTGATTGGTTGAATTTCATTTAGAAGGTTTTGATTGGTTAATAATTCTGAGCTCATCTGAAGTAGCCAATCAAATCGATTTAAATTCCAACGAGAAACCACAACACGAAATTTCACTCGAAAGCACAATATACCACCAGATCGAGCACAAAACTCTAGACAAGTTTGGTTCGTACTACGTAATTGAGGGGATGTCGCATTGGATTCAAAGTGAGTGTGCAGTTATGGGAATAATACCATGTAGAGTTGGCCTAGCCAACCCCCATCACCACGTTGCCGATCCTACTATTAATATCGTGCCCGTGATATTAGCACTTTTCAGTAATTTTGCCCCAACAGGGCCTAATGTACTGTTGTCCTTTGACCCAGAACATGGACTTTTGGGCTGATTCTTTGCCAAATGTATCGATCAAATTCTTTGTACTGAATTTTGTATGTAAAGTGTTGTGGGGATTGCAATCACACTAAATTCACACACTATTTAAACGTTGATGATGGTTTCCTGTAATCTGATTGGCTAAAGCCTAATTCTACCGATTCTTCTGTCCATTTGGTCGTCTCCATGTCGCTCCAGTTTAGAATATAAACACAACAATAAAACTTGAACTGTACTACTGAATCTTGCCCATTTCATCTTACAACAGAACTCACACAACCTTGGAGAAATGGTTTTCTCCAAGCAAAGACATGTGACGTCGTTGTGGCATCGACATGGACATACAGTGTCACACATTGGCCATATATGCTATGTCTGTGACACCGAAGCAGCGGCGTTGTGTTGGAGAATGACTTGTTCGATGACACGTCGGAGTTGTGGTCGCATCCGCCGCTTTCGTTCGAGAAACGGCACCAAGAACAACGACGGCGGGTCGTCCCGTGGACTGGTCACTTCGTTGGAATTGGTCAGCACGAGTTGCTTGAGGGCTGCGATGACGTCGGACGGGTCGGCCTTCACGTCTTGGTGCTCGAGGGCTCTGGAGATATTGGAGTGCCCGACGATGGTCGTGCGACATTTCTGGGGATCGTCAGGGTCGGCTACAAATGACCACCTACATATATATAAATATGTATGTAGGTTATATATATATGTAGGTTATATATATGTAGGTTATACAGTATATGTGTAGGTTATACATATATATATATATATACAAGTATAACCATCCCATAACTATCGTATTGAAATACTAGTCGTTGTTTTTCTCACCAGCCCCACACTTCGTCGATGGAATCGGACGGGTGCAGCGTCACGAGCGCGTCGTCCACAACAGACACCCATGCAATGACAATATGTTCGGTGGTTACATGGTATTTTCGTATCTCATTGCCATGAAAGAATGAATGACGCCCAGTGTGGTGCCGAGAGCGGTAGCGTTCGTACACGGTGTGCTCGTCCACATGCTCCCACACCTAGGTCATACTGTCAATGCGCAATGGTCCCCGTCAAGCGACTGACTACCTGGACGTCACCGCGTGGACGAGTGTGTATCTCCTCCTCTGTCGACAATCTGCCAGACAAGACCCTCCAACACGCGTCGGCGATGCTGCGATACGGCGCCGGCAGGTTGATGTGGTTAATAGATTGGAACCCAATCTGATCTTGTGCCAACGCAATCGAGTCGCCACGGCACATGTCGTGCGTCAAGTCCAGTGCCCCAGCCTGAATGAACGCCGTGTGAAATCGCTGCAAGTGGCGGTCCGCGAGGCGGTGGATGGCAGCGAGGCGAAGCGCGGGGTCCGCCGGGAGCTGCCGCCCGAGGCATGCGCTCTCGTCGGTCACTTCTGGTAGCGACTAGGTGGGAGACATGAGATAGAGATCCATGCGCAGGCGACACATGCAACAAACACACCGTCCAACGAGGAGTCTTAAGTATGAGCTTTTGGAGGCGTTGTATGTGCTTGCTGCGTTCGGCCACGGCGGCTTGGAGCTGCTGATTTTCGTCCAAGCACTTGTTCTTGTCTAGGCGTTGTCGAGCGGCTGCCCGCGCCCACATTGACGGCACCTTGTTGCTACACGACGACATCGCCGTTTGCTTGGCTGCCATGAGTTGGGCCTGCAAGTCGCTGATTTCCGCCTCCAGCTGCTGGACTTCGGCCTTGTTTGTGTAAACTCGAATGCGCTTGGGTTTGGGCAGGCATGGGTCCTGGTAGCTGCTGACACTGTGACAGGTGTAGACGTCCAAGTCGTCCCGGCGCTGTGGCTCAACTGGGGATGTGTGGAGAATGTCACACACAGTGGCCCACATGTCGGCTTCGTCCAGCAAGTTGGCTTCGTCTCTTGGACGTGCTAGTGACGATGCATTTTTGGACGGAGGAATGGTCTTGCCGTAGGCACCACCAGAAGTCGCGCTGGTCGCTGTGCTCGACATGGGAGCACTGGAATGGATCAGTTGTTGCATACATAATGTAGCGAACAACGTGATTGGATAGAATACAGCCAATCAGTCGAGCAACGAGGTTGCATTCCTACATCGACATACATTCCTGGCCAATGGATTCAAGACCAGCATTCTTTGTCGGCAAAATACTAGTACTTGCCTTCTTTGCATTCTGAACGTTCAAATAGAAGATGGAACACAGCAGCGGCGACGACGACGATGGCATCAGCACGGAGTTTCTGCAAGACTTGCAGTTCTTGATTGCCACCGATGCCCAACTGAACGACGATCTGTCGTTTGTCTGTGAGCTTCTGATCGAGAACGAATCAGCCTCAGACCACGCAGACGATACGTTGTCACGCGCCAGCGACGACACTGTCCATCATTCGATGGGAGCGTTGTGTACTACAAGGAAGGGTCCACAAGCATCACGACGTGCGTCCACGAAACCTGTCACGGCCAAGGCGTCCGTGGCCATTGAATACCCCAGCACAGGGGCAAAGAATCGGTTTCAGTATCGACAAAAACATGAAATCCAGCTCCTTCGAGCTCAGGTTGATGCGTTGAAGCAGACCCTGGCCGATACTGCCAAAACTAGTGCTGACACCAAGGTGCTGCGGGTGCCTTCCTTGTGGGAGCATGCCGCCAAGAAGGAACGAGTGGACTGCAAACGAGTGCTGGAGGAAAACGCGAAGCTCAAGGGCGCTTTGGACGAACAGACAACCTTCATCGATAACATGCAACGCTTATTCAACAAGAAACCCCGGAGAGCCGTCGGCGCGGTAGGCTCGACCTCATTTACACATACATGTCATCCCTATGGAATATGCGCGACGCAGGTGGAAGTGGAGGCGTGGCAGTCGTACAAGCTGGCCGCGCACCGCTCGCTCCGCGTTGCGGCGATCCACGCCATTGCCGACCGCCAGCTCCGCCGCATGCAAAGCGCATTGATCCAAGCTGGCGTGTTCCACGCGCCCAACGACATCTTCTTCGCGACCCCACGACCACTAGGACACACCCGCCTCGTGTTGGACTTTGTCAATCATGTGCGCATTCCAGCCCCGTATCGAACCGTCTCGGCGTCGTGTTGGCAGGTGTTGGCCGAAGCGCGGGACCTGTCGCTTCCCCCAGATGCCATCGAGGTGGTCCTTGTATCCTTCGCATTCTCGTAGTGTTGTGATGGCGGCGATTATCAGGAGTGTGAGGTTGTGGACGAGTTCACAGTGTACCAGCAGTTCACCCAAGTGGCGGCTGGTGGCACAGCGTCACATTCGAACTTTATTCGAAAGTACTACCCGCACGAAACACAAGACGTGATTGCGTGGCGAACGGTCTTGGAAGATGCGCTGGCTCCGCACATGGTGCGCGGCGCCGTGGACAATGAATGGGGATGGTGCGTCTTACGGAGTAGGACAGACTGCTGCTGAAAGGCTGTCGGGTGTTGTAGGCTGGTGCTGACCCCCGTCGCAGACGACGCCACGTCCTGTTGGGTGACGTTCTTACACCAAGTTTTGGTGGAAACAAACCCTGAATACTCTTCTCCGGGTCTCACTGCCCTGGACGCGACAAGCCACGCATTGAAACAGTTTCGATTCTGCGAACGACCGCCTACGCCCGGACGATTCTCGGGTTCCCCGGCGGACAAGATGGACATACCAGACAAGATCATGCACGTGTTCATGAGCAAAGGCAAGCGCCTTGAGCTGTCTCTATGCGCAGCAGTGGACAATGCGATCCTCGTTGCCCAGAGCGGCCATATCTATCTAACAACCACTTACAACAAAGTTGACTGTGAGTTCAATGTGTCAAATTGACATTACTTGAGCCAATCAGAATACCGTTCAGTTCCAACACAATTACGGATTGGTTGAAATATAATATTATTCACGAATCAAATCGTCAACGTTATAGCATGCATTCACACGACGAAATGGCGGCTGAAGGCACCGACGACGACACGTCCATCGACTTGCTAAAGGACTTGCACTTCCTCATCGCAACAGACGAGCAAGTGCAAGACGACTTTTCGTATCTGTGTGACTTGCTCGACGAGACTGCAAGCGAACCCATCGACGTGTCGTCCGGCAGCAATGGCGACACATCAGAAATGGGCGGCGAGTGCGCAAGTGCAGCAGGCTTTGCCAAGCTGGACCTGCAGCACACCTCACCTACAAGCGAAGCTACCTCAAGCATCGAACCGTCAAGTACGACGGCGAAGACGTCGTCCACAAAACGAAAGAACGTCGAGAAAGACAACATCCCTCCAACAGGGGCACGAAATCGTTTTCAATACCGCCAGCGACAAGAGCTGAAAGCGCTCAAGGCGCAGGTCGAGGAGCTCAAGGCAAAGTTAGCGGCAGAGTCCTCCAAGTCCTCGTCTCGTCTGGCGGCATTAAGCGAAGCGTCGCCTTGGGAGCAAGCCGCGCGCGATGAACTCGTCGAGCGCAACCGCGCGCACGCGGAAAACAAGCAGCTCAAGGACGCGTTGGACGACCAGTCGACGTTTGTCGATCAAATGCAAAAGCTGTTCAAGAAGAAACCGCGTCTCATGGTACTTGTCCGCTCTTCAATCCTCTAAAGGCCGCCAAAATGGGGCATGTAGGCCGAGGATCCCTCGTCGTTGGAGGAATGGCAAGTCTACAAGCTGGCTGCCCAGCACTCGCTCCGCGTGGCGGCTATCCACGCGATTGCCGACCGGCAGTACCGGCGCATGCAGAATGCGTTCATCCAAACGAGCTTGTTCAACAACTCGGATGCTCAACCCATCGTCAGTGGCGCCCCCAGCGTACTTCCCGACGGCAACATCCTTCTCGAGTTCAAACGACAGTTTACCATGCCAGTGCCGTTTCCTGTGGTTGGCGCTGCGTGTTGGAACGTGATGAAAGTCCGAGACATGCGCCCCGGAGTAGTTGAGGTACCTACATACCGCCCCAAGGTTCAATTATGGAGTACACCTTTTGAATGACACTACTGTACTACTTCGAAGTATGGTATGAAGTCCTAATGACTGATACGAAGTGCCTAATGACTGATATGAAAATACCCGAATGACTGAATGAAGTACCCATCGACTAATTTAGTACCTAATACTTCGAAGTAACTGATACTATTAATACTACATAGTAGTATTATTAGTATGAAGTAACTGACAGTGAAGTAACGGTAATTAGTATAAGTATGATCGATTAGGTACTTAGGTACTTTTATACAAAGTACTAGTACAAAGTACCTAAACACAGAAATGCAGTAACCACGGGTACCTAATTCAGTTCTGATAGAGTATCGAAACGTTGGATCGTCACACTGTGTACCAAAAGCTAGCCGAGACCGTGGGTGGAGTCACGTTGCACTCGAATTCCATTCGGAGGTATTACAGCAATACTAAACGAGATGTGATCGTGTGGCGGACGGTGCTCGAAGATGCGTTGGTGCCACATATGGCGAGGGGATCTGTCAACAATGAATGGGGATGGTACGACCGTGTTTTGTGCAGTGAGAAGGTGATGGAGTGATAACAGGATGGAGGTGGCGCCGACGAAGGACAGGAACCCGAACCAATGCCGCATGACGTTTTTGATTCAGAGTGCAGTGGACGCAGTCACCGACGGGTTGGTCGGCGACGCTCTGGACGAATTCAAAGCGGGGATCGAACGCTTCGGGCTGAACAATGGCGCTTTCACAGAGAATCCCAACATTTCCGTGCGGAATGAGATCATGTATGCACACATGGCAAGGGGCAAGCGGTTCCAAGATACCCTCCAAGCAGCAGTCGTGTCCGCAATCTCCGACTACTACGGAACGAAGCAGCCATGACCCCAAGCACTGGAGGGCACCCCGACCCATCACTAATATACCAACCTTCTATCACTCAAACGATTCATGGTACCGTCTCGGTATGCAACGAAAGCTAGCTTTGGGATGATCGACTGGAATGTCTCGTCGCCTTGTTACACTGAAAGAAGTGAGAGTCCTTCATCAATGCAAGCAGGCAAGGAATGTGTATGTAGCATCCAAATAAAGCCATTCCCCCATGAGAAGGAAGGAACAAGCTTCTGTGCGGTGCAAAAGCATCATCGTCCTCAACGCTATCACGATCCACACGATGTCCTTCCCAAACAGCAAATTCGAATGTGACCGAGTATGGCTGGCTGGGATACTATCCGGATAACAACCTCTCGGGACAAATGGAACCCCACCCCTATATCATAAAGTGCGGGTCATTATCCGGATAGTGAAATTGCCGGATACAGGTGGTTGAGTTTGAGACTGCACAACACGTTCTGAATTGAGTTATCGGATGGAACATCCAACAACGGTGCTACAAGGAGGCAATGCCACCATCGCGGCGGAGAACCTGGACGTGATTGCAATGTGCCGCAAGGCTTTCTGCGCACGCGATGATATCCTCTTGTGCGAGGCGGTGAATGAGGTCAAGCCATGGGCCGCGCGAAGTGGGGAAATCATGATGTACTGGGCAAACATTGCGGACAAGTTGATGCACACGCGAGGATTCGCTTTGCGAAAAGACGGCCCAGCATGCAAGACGCGGTTCGAAAAGATCGTCAAGATGATCACAGGGGGCGAGCAAGATGTGTTGCGGAAATCTGGCAGCGAGGACGAGTTTGCTGAACGCGAGCGGCTGGTGATGGGCATCTGCATGCAAATCGACGAGTATCAAGCGGCCGACATCCCAACACGAGCTGTGCTAGACAACGAAAACGGTGGCCCCGAGGGCAGGAAGAAGCGAAAGGCAAACAAACTGATGAAGGTGGCGAAGCGAGAACGATTGACGGACTTGTCGGGCCATCACTATCTGTCGCCGCGAACGACCACGCGGACAACGCCACCCCCGGACGACTTGCGAGCGTTCTTCGAGTACTTGAAGAAGCGCATGGATGTGGACGACGCTCGGGAGGAGAGGCGGCAGACCCTGGACAAGGAGATGGAGGATCGACGGGCGGCGGCAGAGGAGCGCCGCATTGCGTTGGAACTCGAGCGCGACCGCCGCCAACAAGAGTTTATGCTGCGCGTGCTCGACATGATGAAAAAGTAACACAACTCGACTATCTTATTGATCGTAGTATAGTTTTTGCGAGCCCACAGTTACAACACTTGGGTGTAGCCACGACGTCGGCTAAAGATCTGGTAGACCCCACCCAGCACGATGAACGTAGCAGACCCCACGCCCACGTACAGCCACGTTGAGATGGCGTCGGCATCAGCAGGCCGACTGGTCGGTGCGGGGGCGATGGTGATATGCTTGGCCAGCGGAAATACCTCCAATGCAAACGACATGCCCACTTCAATCAACAGGTCCGTGATCACGAGCGTGTTGTTGGCGGCAAAGTACGTCCCCGTGGCCGTGCGCTTGTTGAGCACTTTGACGTACGCTACATGCACGTCGCTGTCGGCGTCGTACCCGTGGACTCCATACACCTAACAATGTGTTGCCGTCATCATGCAAACTCCTTCATCTGTTTACGTTATCCTGTACACATGTTGACGTCATCATGCAAAACTGCACACGATGTTTCCGTCATCATCTTGTCGAGAGTGGGGTGCTCAATCGAATGACCAATCAAAACCCAGATCACAAATCAAGCAGCCAATCAAATCCACTCGTCGACCACTTCAACAAAAGTGTGATCGTGTAATATTATTGGACCATTTATACATACAAAAGTCAGTACAAACACTAGATTTAGCGAATCAACACAAAAGTCCACATTTTGGGTAAAAGAAAGACAATACAAACAAACTCCACGAAGTGTGATTCGACATCATGTCAACTCTTTCCAATGTTGACGTCATCATGCAAACTCCATGTTTATGCCGTGATCATGCCAACGCCATACAATGTGTACGTCATCATGACGGGTGACACACACGTACATGAATGGCGTCCACGAGCACTTTGGTTTCGGGACCTGTGTACCCCTCTGCCACGGCTTCCGCGTCGATGCGAAGGTATCCGTTGGAGGCATGTTTTGCCGTGTACTGGTGCAAGGAAAAGACGCTTGTTTGCACGGGGTTGACCGAGTTGCCGCTGTCCAAGTACAGCTCGCCAGTGGCAGCAGTCGTGTTGGTTATACCCGACGACCACGCTGGCAACGCCACAACGAGGCGGAAAGGGTTCTTGCGGCTACTGGTGGTCGTGGTGTTGGGGTACTGGAGCGCCACAATCGACCCGCCTCGCACGTGGAGGGGCACCGTGTTCAGCGGGGCCGGCAGTACCACCGCGCCAGTCGCGGCGGCGGGGACGCCCGTCCACAGATCGTACCATGTGGCGGACGGGGGAAGGTACGCGGCGACTTGGCGCGCGCCAGGTTCGAGCACCGGAGACACCAGTAGCGCCGACCCGAGTAGGTACTGCGAGTCGATAGCCAAAGTTTCTTTGGACGGGAACTCAAAGTACAGCGACCGGGCGACCGTGCTGCCGTCGACGTGCGCGCGGTAGAGCAATGTGTACAAGTATGGAAGGATGTGGTACCGCTCCAGGAGCGTCTTTCGAATCGCGTCGATGGCGTCGTTGTCAAAGTCTACTGGCGCTTGATCCTTTGCCGCCATGTTGTGGTTTCGAAGGAACGGATACAAGATCTATATGTACACGCCCATCGACTCATTCAACAACACATGCACAATAGATATGGGAGAGATAGCCACCCCACCACCCCCAGATTGACCCATTCCCATACTCTCGTCATAGATATGTGTATTATTGCAGTGTTTATCCTAAACTGGAGAAGGAATCGACGACATGACCAAATACACATAGGAATATGCCGAAGAATTTAGCCAATCAGATTGTAGGAAATCCTCGTCAAGGTCTACTTAGTGTATGCCTTGAACAAGGACGTCGATGTATAACATTCAGTATTGTTCATTCGATTCGAATTGGAGTGTTTGGGTGCTCAATCGAATGAGCAGATTAACCAAATCGGCAGACAATCGATATACGACCAAGCAAAACACAAGGCATGAATCAACTAGCCAATCAAATCAACTCTTCGAATAATTCATCATCGAATTAGAGTGTGATTGGAATTAGTGTGATACTGCACGATCTTTCCAAAAGTCAGTACAATGAATCGATTGATAGATTTGGCAAAGAATCAGCACAAATGTCCAAATACTGGGTAAAACGACAAAATCCGATCGATATATTTGGCGAATCAGCACAAGTCTGAATTTGGCTGAATAGGACAATAAGTCACCTCACAAAGGGCAATATGGTTCCGATAGGGGTAGGGTCTTACCGCGGCCTGGTGCCATCGAATGCACAGCTCTTGGGTCGTGTTCAAGCCAAAGCCACACACGTCCGGACCGACCATCGGCATGCCAAACACGTTCATCGAGAGCACGCCCGCGATGCTTTGACGCAGGTCCTCCCACGTGGCGGCGTTGTCCCCGAGCCAGTGCGCCGTGTACTGTCCGTCGCCGGCAAACGTGGACCGAGACAGGATAAAGGTGCGGGTCGTGGGGCGGATCGAGTCGACCGCGAGGCGTGTGGCGACGATCTCCGAGTGGCCAAAGAGCGAGTGGACGTTGTAGTGCAGCGAGTTGACGTGGTGCGCCGCCATGGACGCCGTCATGGCCGCGAGATTGCCGTTCACGGCTTGACCCGGCACAAACGGCTGGCGGAACGGATCGAACGGGTACGCCGTGTCCTGGGACCGGACAAACGTGTACGGCGCGTACGAGTCGTTGAACACACACGAGAGGCTCTCGCGCCCGCCTTCGATGCAAAAGCTGCTTGGCTCGTTCATGTCGAGCCAAATGCCGTCGTACTTGACCGTCGCGTAGTACCGTTTCAACTGCTTTAGCCTGCACACAACAACGTGCAATATTCACACCAGGCGAGGTCGTACAATCAAATGTCCCACGTCAGATCACCAGTCAACCATTCGCACTCAATATCAAGACATGCCAGACTGCATCATCATCCCAGAGGTCGTACAACCAAATGTCCCCAGAAGAAGCACTCCGAGAAGGGGGAAGGAGGGGGGGGTACATACCAGTAGGACGTGGCGTTGGGATGGAAAAAGTCTGGGTATGCGACCATTCCTGGCCACACGATGTTTTGCTCAATGGACACGTTCGACCCGTCCTTCATAAACACATGCTGCGCCAATCCGTCCTCGTACGCCGGATATGATGGGATCGTGACGGCGATGCCGGCGTCCACGATGGGCACGTAGTGCTGACCGTGCGCGTGGAGGTCGTCCACGAACGCCGACACTTTGGGCTGGGGAAACGACGTCGGGTCCCATGTAAAGTCGAGGTACCTGTCCATAACGTCAATGTCGGTCCACTGGGCGTCCTGCGGCACCCCCGCCGCCCGCATGCGCTCCACCACGGACACGACGTCATCTAACGAGTGGTAATGCCACCGGCAGAGGTGGTACCCGAGCGACCAGTAGGGCGGAATCATCGGTCGACCCACGAGCGCCGTGTACTGGGCCACGACAGACGGCGCCGACGGACCGACGAACACGAAGAGATCGATGATGCCCCCGACCGTCCGGAACGTGATGGCATGGGGGGTCGCCACCGCCTCGAGCGCGTTGCTGTTGAGAAGAAACACGCCGTGCGCGAGCCCCGAGTCCTCCACGCGGATGTAGAACGGATGGACACCGTAGACGTTGTCCCCGCCCTTGGACGTGTGGACATGGAACGTGTCTGCTGGTTGGTCCCGCGCCCAGATCGTGTAGCGGTCCCCCGACGCGTTGCCGAGAAAGCGGCCGACGTGCTCGCCAAGGCCAAAGAACGTTGGCGGCGCCGACGTGGGCATGGACGTGGAGAGTTCAAGGTACTGGTTGGCAAAGACAAGACCGTTGAAATGACCTGCGGGGGTCGAATTGAAGAGCGTTTCGCCCGTGGAAATGCGGGTGATGGCGATGCCAAACGGAGACGATGTGACGCTCACAGAGTACAGTCGCGACGAGGTCGAATTGCGGCTCGAGGAGTTTCTGGTGGTGGTGGGATGATGCAACGGAAGCGGGACTTCGTACCGGCGGAATGATGGATCGAAAATGCGCACGCGAACTTGGTCGCTCGCGTCCGCAGTGACCTCCACTGACAGTTCTGAAATGTCGTTGCCGAACGGTCCGCGAGACCGCAACACGAGCGTGCCTGTGTATCCGCTCGTGGTTTCCACCCACGACTGTGGCTTCAAATCGTATCCAAGGAACGACGGCTGGAAACATTCGGTACCGTCAAAGCAGCAGCCGAGCGCGGCACATGTCGTAGCATCGGTGGCGGTGAGAAAGTACCGCGGGTTCCGACAGGCAAGGCGCGAAGCAGGGAGCACGGCATCACATAGACTGGTTGACGGAGCAGTGGTGCGTCCGAATGCACACGGAATTGCATCAAGCGCGTCCCAACAGCAGCCCTGCGCAAGACACGTCTCTTCGGTGGCATTGGGGAAATTGACTTGTACGGGGTAGCAGTCCAATCGCGGCGACGGGATCGGCGCAGCACATTGATCCGCTTCTTGACGGGATGTTGCTGCGACCAGCGTTAGCACTGCCACGCCTGTCAACCAAGATTTCAGCGACATGATCATGTTGCTCTTTCTTTGATGTGCACGGTGAACTCAAAACTGTCGAGGGAGCGATCCTATTAGCTTCCTGCAATCTGATTGGCTGATCCGAATTAAATGCGATATTAGCTTCCTGCAATCTGATTGGGTAATCCCAATTAAATGCGATTGATTGACTTCAAGGACCAATTAAGTACGATGGTCACAAGCACAGTTTTTCTCGACATGCACGAACATCTGAAAGATGGAGCGCGAGAGGCATTCCGACGAGCGATGTCTGACATGCCCGGACGAAAGACCATGGTAGTCGACGCATCTGTGCGCGTTCTCCTTGACGTGCTCTCCCGTGGAGGAGGCGGCAAAGCTTTCTTTGACAACCTTGGCGTCACTCAGATCTTGGTGCTGGACCCGCACCTCACAGTGCACACGTTTGAGTCGTCGCAGGTCGTATTTCTCGTCCGTCCAGAGCCCATCCACGTTAAACACATGGCGGACAATGTGTTGGCATCTAGCAAACGACATACGTTTATGGTCGCGTGGCTACCCCAATGCAATGGCGTGTGCGCGTTGGAAATGGAGCGACAAGGGATCGCCGGAACCGTGCGCGAAGTGGACATCCCGCTCTTCTTGGTGCCATGCGACGATCTCGTGTGGAGCATGTGCTGGTAAGACGCTGTTCGAAGATGAAAGTGTGTATGTATACTTTAACGCGAGTAGGGAAGGAGCCTTCATCGACCTGTTTGTGTTTGGCGACTCCAGTGTCGTCACGCAGGTCGTTCGAAGTCTTCTCCATCTGGAACAACTCGGTGGATTGCAGCTAACCCAACGGCTGTTTGCGTATGGAGCTGCCGCGCACCAGGCCAAGAGCGTTCTCGACCGTGTCCGTGGCCTATCGCCGATCACTTCCACTGCCATGCTGTTTGACCAGTGCCTTCTCATGGACCGACAGGAAGACCCGATCTCGATGCTGGTCACGCCATTGCATTACGAAGGTACCAGCGTATAGCATACTTGATTCTCTTGCGTTTTAAAAGGTAATATTCTTGCCCTTTTACCCAAAACCTGGACATGTGTGGTGATTCTCGATCGCTTTTTTGTACTGAAATGGTGTATGTTTGTAATCACACTACTTTTAAGTCATGCACTAATTACATGTGGATGATAGTTTCCTGCAATATGATTGGCTAAAATACATATCTACCGATGGTTCTTGTGTACATTTATTTGGTTGTGTTGATCGATTTATATTTAGAATATAAACACAACAATACCGTATAGTGTACATGTATTGCGACGGATTAATCTATTGCGACTCCTGTAATACCTGATAATTTTCTTGTAATAACTGATATTTACTTGTGAACATGTTAACAATATACTTCAAATTTGTACGACACAATGGATTAACAAAGTTTTGACGGCTGGTTGTGAAATATCACCTGTGGCAATACATATATATACGGTAGAACTATGCTGGCTAGGTCATCGTTTACTGTTAGCTTTTGAAACGTCATCACACTACCTTTTGATTGTAGGCTTACTGGACACTGTCATTGGCCTCGACCACGGCGCCGTGTCCATCGCCCACGACGACGGTGGAAACAAGAAGAAGAAGAAGCATGTGCTGCAAGATGACTTGTTCAAGTACATCCGTGATATGGACTTTCAGGTGGTCACGTCCATTTTACATGACATGTCGACATCGCTTCAAGCGGACGTGGCGTCCACTCGGGCGACGGAGACACCCGCCGTGCTCACCCAGCGATCGGCCCTCGCCGCGGCCAAAGTGAACCTGTCGTTGCATGTGAACCTAGCGCATCGCATCTCCCGAACGAGGACGGATGGTGATGCCGCGGTCGAAGAAGGCGGCTCCGACGACGACGTTGACGGCGTCCGGCGCTGTGTGCACGCCGAACAAACCATCCTCGAAAGGCGAGTTGCCGCAGCGCCGTTGCCCAGCAATGTTGTGACCAAGGCGAGCACTGAGGCGGCGTTCGTGGGCTCGGTTCTCGAGGAAGAGCTCTTCCATGACCCGCCACTCGACTTGGCCAAGCTGGTCAAGCTCATGTGTTTGCATTGTTTGGTGCAGGGCGGGTACAAAGACTCGACGTTCGAGTGGCTGCAGACGCAACTGTGTCACACATACGGCCACCCGGTGATGTTGCCGTTACTGGCGCACCTGAGGCACTTGAACTGGCTGTTCCCAACGTCAGCTGCAACGACGCCCTCGCCATCCTCTTCGACGTGGAAGAAGAAGCTGCGAAAGGACGTTGCCGCGAAGACCACGACTGGAGACATTACATCCATGTTTTCTACGACGGGGTACGCCCCCATCAGCGTTCGCCATGTCCAAGATGCCGTCAAGCGCAGGAACGGTAACAGTCCCATGTCGTCGACGTCGTCGCCGCCACAGAACACGGCAACCAACAAGCAGCGCGTGTTGGTGTATTACATTGGAGGCATCACGGTCGCGGAAGTGGCCGCGTATCGATTATTGAATCAAGCGCAAGACCAGGTCGAATATGTCGTGGCATGCACAGCCATATGCAACACGGCGCGACTGCTGCGCCACCTAGCCAGCCTACAAACCTAGCGAGTCGTAGTAGTACTAACATTCGGCTTGTGTTACCGGCCGCCACCCCAATCGCTAGCTACCGGTACATGGTCATAACAGTTGCGAATCAAATGGGCGATATGTGTTGACCAATACTATTGGAATTAGGCAAATCAAATAATTGTTTCGTAATATTGTGGATTATTCGGTACAAATTTCCAGATCGAATCACGTATCGACGACGCTATTGGCTAATACCATTTTAAGTGGATTTGATTGGCTATTACAGAAAGGACAAGTATTTTCAACCAATCAGAAATTCACATGATTCAATATTGATTAGACAAACCACGCGAATTTTGGAAGTTTATAGCGACTTCAATTGTTTCATAATATTAGGTTCAAAATATCTGTTTCTCAAAAGATTGAAATACCTACTGTACGCACTTTTATCAAGAAGGTGCACACGATGAATCGCTTGAGCTTCGTGGTGTGGTGGGGTCTGGTGACTGCCACCGTCGTGACTGCAGCAGCGCGAGTGGACACTACATGCTTGAAGGCTGCTTCTACGTCGAAGGAGGATACCCGAGTCCTAGATTGCTACCCGTACCAAGCAGGCTTCCCCAACGCGACGGAGGAGTTCTGCCTCGCACAAGGGTGTTGCTGGGACTCTTCTCGATCGCCACAGTGTGTATTCGGCACAGTGCCTGTCCCTACACCCACACGATGCTCTGCCGTGCCAGTACTGTCGCGCGTGGCCTGTCGAAACCCGCGGTACTTTATCCGTCCGTCGAATGCGTCCGATTGCACCGCCATGGGGTGCTGCTTTGACGAGTCCCAAACTTCCACCGACCCCAATACAGCATGCTTCCAGCCGGCTGCTCCTGGATACCATCTCACGCATTGGGAGGAAGTTGCGTCAGGGTACTCTGGGACGCTCATGCTATCGCAAGAAGACACGACGACCCGAGGGCCGTTTGGCAACGACATTGCGACGCTGTCCGTTCACGTGCATTTGGAATCACCTACGCGCGTGCGGGTGCGCATCTTCGACCCTTCGTTCCCGCGTTACGAAGTTCCTCTCCCTCTCTTCAACGCGTCCATGTCATCATCGGACCAGAAGCGGCTCTACGGCGTATCCGTGACCACGTCGCCCTTTGGACTCGCCATTACCCGCTTGTCCACGAACGAAGTGCTGTTCAACTCGACGCCCGGACCTTTCAACGGTCCCCTCGTCTTCTCCAACCAGTTCCTGGAACTATCCACGAGCGTGCCGTCGTCGCCAAAGCTGTTTGGGCTCGGCGAACACGTCGGGCGGTTGGTCGATCCGGCGCATGGCGACCACTACACCCTCTGGACGCGGGACCGGCTCGCGAACGCCGGCAACGCACACACAGCTAGCGGCGGGGACAACGAGTACGGCGTTTACCCGTTCTACATCCGCGTGGAACAAGCCGACCCCGCGCTCGCCCACGGGGTATTCATCCTCGGGAGCAACGCGATGGAGGTGGTGGCATCCCCCGACGCCATCACGTTCCGGACGGTCGGGGGCATCGTCGACCTGTTTGTGTTTCTCGGGCCCACCGCGCGTGAGGTGGTGGGGCAGTTCGCGTCCGTCGTCGGCCGCCCCGCGCTTCCGCCCTACTGGGCGCTCGGGTATCACTTGTGCCGGTACCATTACGCCAACGTCGCGCAAGTGCGGGATGTCGTCCACCGGATGCGGGCCGCCGACGTGCCCCAAGACGCCCAGTGGACCGACATTGACGTTCTCGACGGGTACTTTGACTTTACATGGGACAACACTACGTTTCCACACATGGACTCGTTCGTCCAGCACGATTTGCACGCGTTTGATGTGCACTTTGTCCCTATTGTGGATGCCGGCATCGGCCTATCTCGACCCACAGACCCCGCGTACGTCGACGGACTTGACCAGCGGGTGTTTATGGCGGACGAATCCAACTCGTCGCTAGAGGTGGGCCGCGTGTGGCCCGGCGACGTCGCGTTCCCAGACTTTTTTCACCCCAATGCATCGATATATTGGTACGAACAAGTGTGGTCAGTTGTTTTGGGGGGATTTCGTACAGAATAGACGAAGAAGATGGAGCTGTCGACCATGAATGTGTTGGGATATTGGGATTTTTACTATTATAGATGGAAGTACCGGTAGTCCTACACCTCCACGGATCTGAATGCAAATAAATATATGATCACGATGGTTTTGGTTGGTTGTTGTTTGTGTGATGCTTTCTCTGAGATACAGTTGGGGCTGTAGGGAAGCGCAACTGCGGCGATATTACAAGAGCGTGGCGTACGATGGGATTTGGCTCGATATGAACGAACCGAGCAGCTTTTGCACCGACAGCGACACGTCACCGACGTCGTGCGCGCCGCCGTCGTCGTCCATCGCGATCATCCGGTCGAAGGACTGCATGTTTCCCATGGATCCATTCCGGCAGCCGTTCGCGCCGGGTCAGCATCGCCAAGGAGGCGGCAACCTCGCGACCATGACCGCGTCCCTGGCCGCGCACCAGTTTGTGTCGTCGCATTACAACCTGCACTCGCTGTACGGACACTCGGAGGTCCGCGCCACCCGCGAGGCGATCGACCGCGTCCGGACCAAGCGGTCGTTTGTTTTGTCTCGGTCGACGTTTGCCGGCGACGGACAGTACGCCGCCCACTGGCTCGGAGACAACTCGGCCACGTGGGAGGACCTGCGGCTTGGGGTCGCGGGGGTGCTCGCCATGAACGTCATGGGGATGCCCATGGTCGGGCCAGACACGTGCGGGTTTGACGGCAACACGACCAAGGAGCTGTGCATTCGATGGCACCAGGCAGCGGTACGTCCACTCACTACCACGGATACTATCTATATGGCTACACCGACTACGGCTACACTATTTGTGGAGATGTAGCTACAACGGCTATAGTTATACTGTCTATATGGCTGCTACGGCTACGGCTATACTATCTATATATGGCTACAACGCCTACGGCTATACTGTCTATATGGCTGCAACAACGGCGGCTACTCATAGTATATATGGCCACAGCGACTATGGTTATACTATTCGACACTACAAGGAATATGGCTACTAGTACATGATATGTGGCTACATCTATTACGGCTATACCGCCTATGATAGCTATTCACCACCATATATTCGCGTGTAGATTCTGTTTCCATTCCTTCGCAACCACAACGCGGCCGAGAAGGATCAGGCGCCAGTGGATTTCGACTCTGACGCGACTGCGATGATCCGCCACACGCTGCGCCAACGCTACCAGCTGCTGCCGTACCTGTACACGCAACTGTATCGCATGCACGTGGACGGTGGCGCGGTGGTGATCCGACCGTTGTACTTTGAGTTCCCGTCGGTGGACACGTTCGCCCTGGACGCGCAGTACCTCGTAGGGCCCGCGTTGTTGGTGTCGCCAGTGCTGGACGAAGGTGCTGTACGGGTCCGGGCGTATTTTCCTCCAGAGGACGATTGGTACGACTTGTGGACAGGAGAGAAACAACTTCTTCATCTCAAAACCAACTCGTCCTCAGTCGACCTCGACGTGCCACTTGGTCACGTCCCCGTGCACATTCGAGGAGGGTACATCGTGCCCGAGCAACTCCCGGGCCGTACCACGACCGCCAGTCGACAGAATCCGTTTCATTTGGCTGTGGCGTTGCCTTCAAAATCCGCCACTGGTGCGCCGTCTGTACGAGCCACGGGCGACTTGTATATGGACAGCGGCGACTCCCTGGACCCCGTCACCCGAGGAGTGTACACACTCGTGTCGTTTGCAGCCATTCATTACCCCCACAACGGGTTTGTGTTTATCACAGGGCGTGTCGACCACCATGGCTTTGACGGACCACAACTGCATGTCCCGTTTCGCTCCATGGCGGTAGGTTGCATGTAGATGTGCATGCATGTATGCTTATCAAAACTTGCACTTGCGGGTGGGGGAGTTCACGAACTATAATAATAGGTGTATGGGGTGCAAGGGTTTGCACTTGGGCACGCGATCGACGTCGAGTGTGTCCAAGGCACCGTCACGTCCTCTGGAACTTCGTCGTATAACGCGACGACAGGAGAGCTGATGCTGCAGAATCTCCAGCTCGTCGTGGGCGAGCCGTTTGAAGTTCGCGTATTCCCAACTGACTCTTCGTCCAAGCATCCTGTGTGGGGTCCTACCTTTGGCGACGACAACAATGGTGTAGTGTCGTATACTTAACAATGCTCAAAATGCAAAACAGCATTTAACGTCGTTGAAATGCTCGTGCTACGGCGTCGTTACTTGCAATGCATTGCAAATGGAATTGCACTGATGCGACTGGAAAAACGCGTCCATGCCCCGCACGCCCAAGTTGGTTCCACTGTTGAACCGCTCCAAATCCACACAGTGCACTGCGGGGTCCGTCAAGACAAGCCCCTTGGACGTGAGTTGGCCCTGGAGGTCGACCACCATCAACTTGCCCTTTGTCACATGCCACGTCCAGTGCGAAAACGCGGCTGCCACGGCCACGACGTCCGCCATCGATTCGTCGTCACATACATACCCGAGGTTGTTGGTAAGCTTGAGCAGGGGGGGGATGGTGCCAGAAGTGGCCGATTCAAAGTGCTTTTCCCAGCCATAGTACACATACGAGTCTGCAATGGTCGTGGGGACGCGCACGACCTTGGCGTGCAAAAAGCAAATCTACACCCCATCCATGCAAAATGAATGCATGACTCAAGGGTGTTCATATATATGTACCTTGTGTCGGGGCTTGGCCTCGTGGTTGAATAGGCGCGCCAAAAACGAGGCTGCCGTTTGGCACTCCATCGCTTTCATGTAGCGACAGCCCTCTGGCTTACCCCCCAGCATTGCCGAAGCCTCCCCCCCATACACAAACGATTTGGCCACCATGGCTTCGACTTGATAGTCGAAGGCTGCGTCACCACTTGTCGTCTCAAACTCGTCCGCCACGTCCGTCCAACTGGCGCAACTTGACGTGGACTTGGACGACGATACGGAGCTGATTCTGCTGTGTTTGTGGTACTCTTGGGCGTAATACACCATCCGCTCCGAGCCAAACGCAAACGGCTGGGGGGCCACACGCAGCTTAATGGGGCGGACGAGGGTGTCCAAGGTCCCGGCGACAATGGCGTCCACGTCGACTGGCGGCATGTACGACTCCACCGTCCCCTTGAGCACCTCCAACGTTGACCAGTCGGGTACGTCGGGCGAAAACGAAATAGTACGGCGTTGGTATTGGGGGACTGGAGGGGGCGGCGCCACGTCAACGACGTTGTTGCGACCCGACTTGGCCGACGAAACGCTGCTGCTTCGACTGCTCATGGTGACTCCCGACACGACGCTGGGTGCAATGTTGACATGGTCGGCAACGTTGAACACGGTCATCGGTACAGCACACTCATGACACATCGACTGAAACAACGTTTCCATCTCCGTCGTGCATCCGGTCATATGCCCAAAGTTGTACTGAATGTCCAACGCATGCAACAGCCCAAACAACACGCTCAGGGGCTTGTCATTCTCGTGGCCATCAGGAAACGAGTCTCGGCCCCCGTAAAACTGTCTGCCGTGAGGCGGTGCGTCCCCAATATGGAACAGTACGTTCGTCGAGTTGTGGGGCCATGTCAATTGTGTCACCGCGGCCAAGAGCCCCCCTAACACGTCTTCGGGGACATCCCCCCCACCTTTCGCCGGCACAGCTCGGACAAAACGTTCGAAGTACGCCACGTCAGTCGTAAACGGAAGCACATCGATGTGGTCATTGCCGTCGCAGTGGTCTTTGTAGCCCACAAACGCCACGTGGACAGCAGCTTGACAGAAGTTGGAGATGGAAGCCACAATAGCTGAGATTTGCATTTTCACTGCGACCAAATGCGACGCCATGCTGCCCGTGGTGTCCATCAAGAAGGCCAAATACACATCTCGAGTTTCCCGAACGCTGTGAATGGTCAGGTCCACCGCTGCCTTTCGGTGCCCCCGGATAATTTGAATGGATGTATCGACATCGTTGCTTTTGATACTCGTGGGGCGCAACAGATCAGCGAGCTCAGCGTCGCTAGCCATGGCCCCCAACGCATTGCGCTGTTTGGCCTCAGCCTCACTCGTGGGGGTACAACGGTGGCTCGACATGGACAAAGCCAATTTCCAACTGAACAATGTTAACAAGCGACGGGGAGTTTATATGGGACTGACCACAACATGTGCCCGTTTATAAACCCGAACGACGACGTCATTTCCGGAACGGATTGCTAGCATGGGGGACTCGGTGTTCAACCTAGAGAATCTGCAGTCCGAGCTCAATGTGGGGCCGTCAGCGTACTTCCCCCCGTCATTTACACGTGGCAGCTCGGCCAAGCACCACACAGACACGGCAGCGCGTTCGTTTCAGCGACGAGACGCGATCACGAGCATTGCCGAACACGAAGAATGGAATTTATGTGCTGATGATGTCCAAACCGACCTCGATCATACGTTGCAGACCATCCGGTCCCTGAAAGCCACTTCCATGGGCAACATCCTCCAGAGTTTGCAGCGGACACAAGAAGTTCACCTTGCCTTTGTGATGGACACGACGGGGAGCATGGATGAACATTTGGACGCCGTGAAGAATCAGGTGTCGGTGATCGCTGCGTCATTTCAAAGCCTCGGCTTGGTGCTGCATGTAGGGTTTTTGGGGTATAAAGACCACGGGGACGACAACTCGATTCAAGCGTTTCCGTTCACGGATGACGTGGCAGCCTTCCAACGCTTCGTGCAAAGCATTTCAGCGGGCGGGGGCGACGATGCTCCCGAAGATGTGCTGGGGGGGCTCTGGGCGGCGTCGACACAGCTCCCGTGGCAACCGGATTGTACGAATGTGCTGTTTCACATCGGCGACGCCCCGCCCCATGGGACGACGTACTGGGGTGGCTACGATCTCTTTCCCTATGGTCACCCCCGTGACCAATCGCCAGCGACAATCTTCGGTCGATTGGAGTGGCTCAACGTGCGGTATTACTTTGGCAAGTTGACGACTTGGACCGACATGATGGTTTCAAAGTTTCAAACGTACACGGATGTGACGGTTTTCAACGTCGCCGACCCCATTAACGTGTGCAGCAGCGTGGTCACGGCCACGCAGCAATCCGTCGTGTGCAACCGAACCCGAGCGCTCGTTCGAGGCAGAGCTACGGAGTTCGCCTACAAGTTTGATACCCGACTTCCCCAATGGCCGACTCTGAAGACTCGGCAAGTCACGGCGGCGCGATATGAGTGCGACCCTGCGAGCTTGTCAGCTGAGGATCTGTCTGCGCCAATGTCCATGTTCGTGAGCCAACGCAACATCCGTATTGCCCCACACCCCTTCGCACGAGGCTGCGAGCGAGCAGCGTTCTACTCCCAAGCGTTGGCTTCCGAATCATTGGTCCACACCAAAACTGGTGCGACGGACCCATCGATGTGGGGGAGAATGGTTGCCAAACGGTTCCTTTGGGGGGTGACATCACCCCAGGCGAATGAAGGACGGTAGTTGCCCCCTACAGTACCTACGGCAGTTAAGGACATGTTCACATGTAGGTATATGAAGGCAATGGAAGTCCAAGCGATGGCGGCGGCGTTGGCGCGAGGGTTCAACGACCTTATGAACAAAACCCACTCGACGTTCATCTCGCTGACGTTTCTCGAGGCAAGTGTGGCCAAGCTCGACGACCCCGTCGAGTATGTCGCGATCGAGCGCTTTTTGCCAAACTACGATCGGTTTACAAATAACGTGACGTGGCAATCCCCCCTCGTGGCAACGGATCCGTGTGTGCAGTACGCGGTTGCGTTTTCGCATTGGACGTGGGCAGCCACCAACGGGTATTTGATGGTGGTGGACTTACAGGGCCAGCGAGTGGACGAGCACACGCTTGTGCTCACCGACCCAGCCATCCACTGCATCGACGGAGTGCGCTTCGCTGGCGGCACAAACATGGGGCAGCGTGGCATGGAGAAGTTCTTCACAACGCACGTTTGCAACGAGTACTGTGCAAAGTTCAAATTGACGTTGGAGCCATGATGGTAGCTCCAAGCGCGTTCTGGAGATGGGGTGTACTGAACCCTGCCTTTGATAGTAACGTTATGTCACGTATCCTTGATGCGTTGATCGGTCTTGATCGTTCATGGAGACAGTGAAAAGCAGTGAACCGTTTCACCAACTGCCAACTATCTCGCCTCACGCCAGTGAGAAAGTTCTGCGTGAGATGAGAATATGCTGCACACCCTCGTGATCCTTGATCGGGCACTGTCCACATTAACACGATGCGGCTGCTGATAACTTTGCTAGCTGTGTTGAACGTCGGGGCTCAAGTGGGTATTCCATCGACCACTAGAATCCCAGCGACTACGGTCTCGCGCACACCAGCACCCACTCCCCTCACATCATGGCCCCCGTCCCCGCTTCCTACGATTCGACCAACCACAACAATGTTAGCATCGCCTCCTCCGAGATCCATGTCGCCACCAGTGATGTCTCCTTCTCCGTCGCCACTGCTTACTGCATCAACGACGACGTCAATACCCCCGCCATCGCTGACCCCGCAATTGACAAACCTGTCCAACACCAGCAACATCGTGCCACCAGTCACGACCGAGCTGTCATTGATCCAAATAAATAGCGACAGGCCATCAGGTACTTGACCAACTTTGCAGTCAGAATGTCCACATGTTGTTGGCTGAGTGACGCTGGCTTCACCATCAGGGAGTCGAGCAGCAGCAGTCCCTTCCCCCAGCACCACGTCGCCACCGTCGTCGTCGTCGTCCTCTACGACAATCCTCCTGGCCGTGCTTTGTTCCGTCGTGACGCTGGCAGGCGTCGCGGGCATCTACTTCTTCGTGTACCGGAACACGGCGTTCATTTCCGACTACGAGGCGTCGATCGTGGCGTCGGAAACGCCGTGCCGCCGGTCGTCGTTCGCGGCGACGATGGGGGCCTCTCACTATGAAGACATCACGACGACGACCATCGAAATCAACCCCAAGCAGTTGGCGTACGTCAAGGTCCTAGGCATAGGGTCCATGTGCCAAGTGTGGCTGGCCAATTGGAGTCCCAACCCAGCCATGGACACGATCTCCGTGGCTGTGAAGCGCCTTTTGCCCAAGCGTCGCAACGACCACGACGTGTGCACGTTTCTGGGCGACACGCGGCTCTTGGCAGTGTACGACCGTCGGCACGCGATAACGTCATGTGTGACGTTGATGTAGGTTACGCCATCCAAACATTGTGGCCGTGCTCGGGCTGGCGTGGCACACCAAAGTGCATATTGAAGTTGTATTGGAGTATATGGACGGGGGCAATCTGAGGCAGGTTTTGTCGACGACCAACCCATTGTCCATGGGGTGGCTCGGCAGTAAGCAAGAAATCGCCATGGACGTGGTCGATGCACTGGTATGACAGCTGAAGTAATATTTTCCACTACATAGATTTGTCACGTGCTTGTTGCTCCGTAGGTGTATCTCCATCAAGAAGAGATTGTGCACCAGAAACTCGCCGCGGAGACGGTGCTCATTCACTCTGGCCGTCGGGGCATCGGCGCCAAACTTGGCAACTGCGGAAGCATGTACCGACAGCCTCGACCGACTTCATCGTCCCAGAGGACGACGCTGTCGATTTTCTCACCCAAGTTAAGTCCAGATGAGGCCCACCGGCAGCTACAGCGAAGGAAATGGATGGCTCCGGAGGTGCTTCGCGGAAACGAGCCGACTCGCGCCGCCGACATGTACGCGTTCGGCGTGCTGCTGTCCGTTTTGGACACCCACGATGACCCGTTTAAACGAGAAGCCATGGACGAGGCGCTGATTTTGCAGCGAGTGAGTCTCGGGGACTTGCGTCCGACATTGTCACTACTGTGTCCCCCCTTTATCCATGACATCGCCCAGCGGTGTTTGGACGTATCTCCAGAGCTCCGACCCACCGCCCTTGTCGTCGCGGGCTGGCTCCGCACCCCCGGCCTCTGCAGTCCGTCTTTTGTGTCGACGTCCGTCGTGCACACCCGTCGCGGCAGTTTGCCGTTAAGTGCATCAAGTAGCAGTTACAACGGGAGTTTGCCGTCGTTGTCGATGGGTCGCGTACCGAGCAAGGCAGAAGCAGCGTACAATGTCTTATGAGAAAAAGCACGAGCCTCCTGTTGACTTTTGTGTTACATGCGACACGCTTTGCACTGGTAGAAATGCCGACGGGGGATGTTGTTGCATGTGGAATGGCAACTAGATCACCAGCAAGCCAAACATCGTTGAAGTTCAGTCTGTGGGAGTTCAAATTGCAATGAAAACACATGCAGAGGCTGGCAAGAGGTTTTTCATACATACGGCCATTTCTCGTCGGAATGCTATTAGTAGTGTTTGTGGCAGCAGGAATGGTTGGGCTCGAGCTCGGCACAAGTGTTGATGTTTAGTATCTGGGGTGCCATTGCACATTGTCGTTATTAGGAATACTGGTCTAGACTACTTCTACTTGAGTTTAGTGGGCACTTCGACGGCAGTACGCCATGCGTCCATGTCATCTCGTTGTTGGAGCACTTCGTCCACGGGCGCGGCAGGCCCCTTGTTGATGCCGGGGCATCCGTCCTTGGCGGTCTTCAGCCGCTCCCACGTCTGCCTCGTCTCCAAGTTCTCTGGCCAGTATGGCCATGTTCTGCATTGCATGGGCCGTGCCTGGTACAGCGAGCACACTGCCTTGCCTTTCACGAGTTTGCGGTCGAGGAACACGCAGTCGAAGCCTGTGGCAGTCCGCTTTTGTTTGAGTTGGAAGAATGAGTTGGCCCCGCGGCCTTGTCGACGAGCGTACTTTTTAAGGAAGGTCGGGACGTCGACCTCCATCTTGGACGCCATCGCGTCCACCTCGGCATCCAAAAACTGCACGCTCCCCTTGGTCCCCGAGCAACAGTTGCCGCACTTAGTACACGAGAACGACAGGCCTGCCTTGAACCACGGCTCGGCAGCCGAGGACGAGACGAGTCTACGAGTAGCGTGCAAGGCGATGTTCATCATTGGGGCACTCGGCTGACCAATTCTCGTCGGCCATCTTGACCGCAGTCGCGAGAGCATCCAAGTGTTGTGAAAAGTTGTGTCGGATCCACCAACCAATCGCGTGCTTTGGCTTATTTGGAGTACCAACTTCAAACACCAAATATCCGGATACCAGTATAATTACCGGAGACACTGGTGCATGTTGTTCTAAAAGTCAGTTTTGAAGAACGGGTAATGGAACCCATCGCACCGGAGTACACGGTCCGATGGCACGCCGGTCACCTGGGCGTATGGCTGCAAGAAGACCCAGCGTCGGGTGCCGCGGTCATCTCCAAGCTGGTGCGACCGTTGCCTCCACACTTCACTCAACTCGACACAAGTGAAGGCAGCGTCGGAGACGTCCTCATCGCCGTGGGGACAACTGGTCCAATCACGTACGATGATGCTGTTGAGCTGCTCCAGCATCCCACGCTTCCGCTGGACCTTGTATTTCGTAACCGCCGCAACGATCTGCCGCTATATGCCGCTCCATCCTCGGTGCGCCGGTACTCTTTCGAGTGGACTGCCGACATGAAGCCTTTGGGCATGTCCTTTGCGAAAGACCCCATCTCGCTCGTCACCGTGATCTCGAATCTCAACAAGGATGTGTTGCCGCCAGCGGTAAAGAACTGTCGTCCTCGAGTGGGCGACGTTGTCTTGTCCATCGGACCTGCCACCGTCACGGACATGAAGTTCCACGATGTCCTGGCGTTGCTAGGGCGTGTTGAGAAGCCCATCGTGCTAGCATTTGACCAAGTTCAGACGACATCCTCCTCTGTGGGCGACGAAAAGTACGACATTGAGTATCGTGGCGAGGGGCTGGGCATCGTGTTTGAAAACAAGGACGACCGACCTGTGATCCAGAGCACCTCCGGAACGCACCCGACTGCCGCGAAAGGCGATGAGCTCATCGCGATCGACGGGGTGGACACAAAGTCCCTTGGGTTCCAGGACGCCATGGCCAAACTGCAACATCTCCAAGGGCTCATGCGATTGTCGTTCCGGAAGGTGCGGCCGCACGAGGTTATAGACGGCATGTACGACGTGCATTACCTCGGTGGTCGACTCGGTCTCGTACTTGCCGAAGGACAAACCAAGTCGAGTCATCCTGTCATTGACGAGATCACGGACGCGTCAACCGCCGCGGGGCTCGAGCTCGCGTCGAAACGAGATGTCCTGCTGTCGGTGGACGGCGTGGACACGGCGTCGCTCGGCTTTGCGAAGACGGTGGCCATGATCAAGCAAGTGGACAACGCGGTTGTGCTTCGGTTCAAGAAGGGTCCATCTAGCGGGCAGCGGACGGAAGCGACGACGTCGGGGTTCCTGCGCACCATGGTGGAAGCGCTCTTCGTATAACGTGCAATTACCGTTTGGCCATTTGATTGGTCAATTTGACGTCAAATTTTAATGAATTCCAGAATGTTCATACAAATACCAAGGTATTGTTTTGGGTTTCCACGTCCCACATTCCGCAATTCCCACTAACGTTAACCGAATCCAGCAACATGGACGACGACATCGAAGGCACGCCGCTGCCGGCGATCCCGCATCGCAAGGACATCTCGTCCGATCCAGAGAGCATGCATGCGCTGGAGGTGAGGGTCTTCGAGCTCGTGACGGAGCTAGTGCCAGATGCATACGATCCGTATAACCAAGCAGCCGACCAACGGCCCACCGAGCAAACCACGATCAGCAACATGAATTGGTTGTCGGAAACCCTCGAGCAAGCCGAGATCTTGTTCCGGCAGTTCCCCATGTCTCGACGGGACGGGCAGCTGATCGGGCATCTCTTGCGCATCCTCGACGACTTTGAGGACTTTTACTCGATGCTCGAGCGCAAGTTGCAGGCCGAGAGTGCCGAGCGCGCGGACAACGACGCGATGAACGCGGCCGTGTGTCGCCTGCTCTTGGCGACCGCTCCGACCAACGTTCGGTTCATCATTCGGCTCATGTACGACGAAGACATTTTGGACCGCGTCACGCGGTGGGCCAACGCCGACGCCACGTCTACTTCTCTCCATGGGTTGCAGTTGCGATGCTACGCATCGGGTCTGCTGTCGTTTGCGCTGCGCGATCGATCCATCGCGGACATCGTCGTCAACAACGAGTCGTTCTGCACCAACTTGCTCAAACGCGCGCGCTTTTACGCGAATGCGTTGGAAGCCGAGCATGCCGCCGCCGCCGCGTACATGCAGGACGTTCAAAAGAAGAAAGCCGTCAGTTCTAAGCACAAGAAACCATCCGTAGGTACCCCGTCCAGCAAGAAGCGAAAGCTGTCGATCGACGACAAGAAGGACATGTCGAATGCCCCGTCCATCTCCGCCACCGCGGTGCCGCCGCCACCTCGCACGACGGACGAACATGAAGACGATGAGACGATATCAACTCGGTTAGCCGACTTGGTCCTCTCCATCCCCGCCCCGACTGTAAACCACGAACAAGGTTCGGCGGCGCTCATGCTACTGGACCTGCTGTACACGGTCCAGTGCGTTGGGTTGATGGGCGAGTACCTGGAACTGCTGGCGTCGGCGCTCAAAGACGACATTGTCGGCACGAGCATCACGCTGCTGCACTCTGCGCACACGAGCGTCTGGTCTGCGACACTGCAGCTGATTTCCCACTTTCTCGCACACAAAAAGTTTGCATTTTCATTTCTCGACGCCGGCGGCCTCGACCTCGTCCTCGCCGCGCAGGCATCGCCTCGGTTTGCGCACCTCCACCGGTCCCTGGGCATGTGTCTGCACGCATTTGCATCGTCTAGCGTGGTCACGGAGCTCATCCTCAGCCGCGATCCGACGCGCACGGCGCTGCTGTCGATGGGCATGACGCTGCTATCGAGTCCGTACGACCGCGCGCGGCAGAACGCCGTCGTGTTCTTTGGGCTCGTGGTGCCGTTCCGGTCGGCGCTCGAGTACTTTGAAGCCCACGACGGGTTGTACACGCTGTTCAACTTGATTCGCGCCGGCAATCTGCCGAAAGCCGCAGTCCAGCGGCAGCTCGCGCACGATGCGTGTCTGTGTCTGCGGCAGTACGTCCGAGTGCACTTTGCAGTGCTGGCGCAGAGCCAACGGCGAAAGTTGATGGATGCCAGCACCAGTAGTAGTCGCATGATCAAGCAAACCTTGGGGAAACCAGTGGACATCGACGACAAGGCCTTTGAACAGCACGTGGCCATCTTGGAAGCCCACCGCCCATCTACAATGCTGTGCAAGGAAACCAAGTGGCAGACTCAATTCACCCATCTGCGGGGCCCGCTGGTGCTGCTCGAAGTGCTCGACGTGTTTCGTAGCCACACGGCGACCACGGACCCGTCGAGTGAGCCCACGTCATTCCGGCTGTGGCTCGTCGAGCGTGCTTTGTTCAGTTTGCAGATCCTGCGTATGCTCACGCTGGCGTACCCGCCGATGGCGGTCGAGATTTGCCACACGATGCTCCAAGACTCGCAGCGCACCGGCCTTACCATCTTGCTCGACTGCGCGATGACCAGTCACCCCCGCGATGGCGATATTGTCAAGGGCGCGCTGCAAGTTGTATGCAATTGCGTGTGCACTAGTAGTAGTGGAGACAAGCAGCAGCAGCAATACTCGAAGAAGGACGATAGGACAACAGCCAACAACCATACCAGCAGCAGCAGCAGCATGGCGACCCCCTTCCCCGCCCGAGCCATCTTGAAACTCGCAAGGGAAAAGAACGCGATCAAGGTATGTCTGCAGCTGCTCCGGTATAAACGGTCGTTGCAACATGCCGACGCGATCCGGCTACTCGCCACGCAAGCGCTGCTGGGGTTGTCCAAGGACCGCCATGTCACGCAGATTCTAGAGCAAATGCAAATAGGTACCTACTACCGATATATATATCATTTGTGAAATGTACACGAGTTAGTTAGTTTGCCCTTTGGTTCAATACGTGGACCGGAAAAAATATGATATATATATATTTGGCTCGTTAACATGTGGTATGCTGGACGACGTTGTGGTGATGGGTAGTACTATTGATACTCCGTATGTCATCGCCAGACCTTGGATATATTATATACAACTAAGTTTGAAGAGGTATTTTGGGGAATATTCATTCGGTTTGGCCAATCATATTTCAACCCATTTTGATTTTGATCCAATCACACGACTTTGCTCGATGTCGGGAAGATTGCGTCAATCCCCAAAGATAATAGTGGCAGATTTGGGAGAATTGCTCGACATGTTTCAAGCATTCTTTCGATCCTGTTGATCTGTTTACAAGGGTGACGTGTTGATGTGACGCTGTGCAGACGCGTCCTTTTGATTCGTCGTTATGGAACGATGTCTCAGATGTGATGATGTTTTTCATGATGGGTAGGCCAACTCCTGTCTGACTTGATCCGAAACGAGCCCGTGCTGGAAGAGAACGCGGACGTCCACGCCAAGTTCCGCGAGTGCGCGTTGGAGCTGATCTCGCACGTCACCCACCGGGCACCGAGCGCGTCGATCCACGAAGCGACCGATCCGACCGTACGGAAGATCGAAAAGGCCAACATCGTCGCAGCGACCCGTGTCACATACAACCCCACGGAGCTGCTGGTGATGATCCACGACCACCTTAAAGCCCACGGCCTGCACGCCGCCGCCGACGCGTTAGAGTCGGAGGCCGCGTTGAATCTCCGGGCGTCCTGTCTAAGGTACAAGAGCCCCTCCCTCTTTATTATATGTAGGTGTATATATATCTATCTATCGTGAATCTAGTCCGCAGAAACCTATCAAGAAAGCCAAGGTGGCGCTGGATGACGCGAGTACACCGCGTACAGCCAAAAAACCTAAGAGATCGATGGCCCATCATCCCAAACTGCTGTCGTTTGCTCAACGCCGCCAGCAGATGCTGTCGAAATGGAAGCAACAGCCCAGCTACTTTGATAAGGACATACCCGCCCAGCCGATGGTGTTGTCATCCCCGAAGAAAGCCACTTCGATGGCCAAGAAACCTCTGGTGAAACCCACATGGCTCGATACGGTCGTGCGCCAGCATCTGCGGGAGCAGCACCGCCTGTGCCCGCATCCGGTGTCGGTCGTGCCGCCATTCTCGTTGACGGCGTCCAAGTCGCATCGGTGCCCGGACGTGTCGCCGCCTCCACTGTACGTCCCCCCTTAGATGATTGAGAACTATGTATTTGTCCTGTCTAATACTATTGTGTTTAAATAGTTTGTTTTTTTAAGTATTATATTCGAATTCGCACACGCGATGATATAATTTACTTTGAAGTATTGTGCTTTCGAGTGAAATTTCATTGTGTTGTGGTTTCTCGTTGGAATTTAAATCGATTTGATTGGCTACCTGAGCTCAAAATTATCAGCCAATCAAAACCACCTTCTCAATGAAAACAATTCAACCAATCAGATCGATTGTGGATCGGTTTGGTCGGCGCGATTTGATTGCATCCCCCTTCCCCAGATTTGTATATCAAGTCGACAATAGTGCCTATATCTCTCTATCGTAGGTATGCAAATGTATGCAGCCGCCTCTTGACGCGAGGAGTAGGACCGGGCAACAGCTACAGTTACAGCCAAGACATGCACTTGAATCGGTTCGTGTCGACGCGCCATCGCCCGTTTCGAATCGTGGGTACGTTTGAACGACCTCGCCCTTGGATGGAGAGATAGATAGATGGATGGATATTGGGTTGCAGTGGTGCCATCCAGTCGAGTTGCAATCTGTGTGGCGTATGTATATATGGCCAACCACATGTATATATGTAGGCCACCACAACAGCCAAGCCCAAGGCGGGTTGACTGCTGCCAAGTTTATGGCAGATGGCCATATTTTGCTCGGGACTGACCACGGCGAAGTGCTGCAGATGCATTTGAACCAAGATGAGATCGTTGGGCTGTGGACGTGCCATGCCAACGCCGGCGCCCTCACCGACCTCTCCACCAATGAACACACCCGCACGTCGAGTCTGCTCATGCTCACTGGCACCACGCGGTAGGTCCACTAATTGTCTCTCTTTACCCTATATTTGGACTACTTTTGTGCGGATTCTTCGCCAAATCTATCGATCCTTTGTCCTGACGTTTGTAAAGATCGAATCCAGTATCACACTAATTTCATTCCCACACGAATTCAATGTTGAATATATTGGTCGAAGTGTGGATTTGATTGGCCACTTGATTCGTGTTGTGGTTTTTGATTGGTCGATTTTTGTCGATTTGGTGGTCATTCGATTGAGCACCACCCAAACACTCGAATATGTCGAATGTATCGACTTGATAATACTTGTGTGTTGTCGTGGATCTAGTTATTCATTCCGATGATGAATGCTAGGATGGCCAACTACGTGCCTTCCAAGGTGGGATTGTGGAGCTTGAATCACATGGAACAAGCCAGATGGACGCTGTCGTCGATGCGAAGTCCGCGGTTCAATCACGGCGGCGACCGCATCGTGGCTCTGGCATGTGAAGACGTGGACGCGTTGGAGCCAAGTGGTTGTCGAGGCACGGCCATGTACGACGTCCAGTCGGGTATGTAGTAGTACTAGTAAAATTTAGTAGTCGATACTAGTAGACGACATCCCATTGGACAATAGGCGCGATGCTGGCCCAGTTTGAAGACCCGTCCCGCGGCGGCGAAGGCGGCAACACTTACGGCGACAGCTCCAACTGCTCGTTCTCGCCATGGGACACGACGCTGCTGTCGGACGGCCTCCTCTGGGACGTGCGCTCGACCAAACTCGTGCACAAATTCGATAAACTGTCCAACGTTGGCTACGGGGTGTTCAATCCCAGCGGCAACGAAGTGATTATCAACTCGGCCGTGTGGGATCTGCGCACGTTCAAGCTGCTGCGCGTGGTGCCGGCGCTCGAAAGCAGTCGGATTCAATTCTGCCATACCCGGCCACTGATGTACGTGTACTCTCCGTTCGAACCCGTGGCTGCGGTACGTCCAACATGAGAGCTTGACGACGACGAATATGGCGGCGAGATAACATTTGGATTTGATATGAATTTCCAGACCTTGTCGAATCGACGACGCTATTGGCTAATCCGATTTTGAGTGGATTTGATTGGCTCTTGCAGAACGGACAAGAAAGATATTCAACCAATCCGAACTCCAGCGTGATTCAATATTGAGTAGACAAACCAGGCGAATTTTGGAAATTTATAGTGAGTATTCACAATAACATGTGGATTTTGATTATTTGGGGGTGCTGGTGATTCACACTACTACTACGCATATATATTTATATCGATTAGGTCATGTATATTATCTCTGCATGGTTTGGAAACAAAATATGTATAAAATACGTCCAGTGTGGTTGAAGCGAGAGAGAGAGAGAGAGAGTGGTTTTGATTGGCTACTTGATTCGTGCTGAGAGTTTTGATTGGTCGTATATCGATTGTCTGTCGATTTGGTTGTATTCTGCTCGCATTCGATTGAGATTATACATATGTGGGATGATTAGAAAGAAACTTCCAAGAAGCTGGCCAAGAACCGGACGTGGCTGCGTGTGCTGGACACGCGCGACTACAAGGACGTGTCGACGGTGGACATTGAGCGACCGATCTACGACGTGGCACTGAATGCCCAAGAGACAGCGCTCGGGGTAGGGATCGATCTATCTCCATGCCTTGATTTGCTCACATGGATAATATATATAAAAATATATATATATTGACGGGGGATGAGGTAGATTGTCGAAGGGCGATACTTGGATTCAATCTACGGCCAAGACGACCCCGTGTGTCGTCTGTACGAGGTATGCAATCTCTTCCTTCGAGACATGAGCTATATTTATCTGAAAGAAATATATATATATAGTACCAGGGATGTATGGGATGATATATATATATATATATAAATTACCAGGGATGCATGGGATGATGTTGAATAGATTGGGCGCGACAAACCCAATGAATGCGACTCGGACTTGGAAGATACGCTGGACGACGGCGAATCGGAATCCATGGTGATTTCAATCCTAAAATCGTGGTGAAATGAGTGGATTTTGAACAGTTTATTTTGGTGTTTGCAGGACGAAGAAGAGTTTGGGGGCAGCGAGTCGGAACTGGGCGGGTCGGACGAGTTTATCACGACGGGCAGCTCGGAGGACGGAGAGTACTCAGAGGACGACTTCGACGAGGACTTTGAAGAAGGCGATGGCCATTTGAATGTCCAATGGGCCAACTTGTACGAAGGCGACGAAGATGCGGAAGGGGGCGACGATGGTGTATGAAGGATGTGATGCTGAAGACTATCTACTGCTTTAGCGTACCTTGGTTGGGTTTTCATCGACAGCGAGCAGCCAAATGAAGCTAAAGGCAAAGTGCAGTGCAATGTCGGGGGGGTTGGGTCGATAAAAAGATATATAAACGTTTCCACAATTCAACGTGTTGGTAATATTTTAATAGCACCTAAAGGTGGTTATAGAATGTGAAACGACCGTCTATAAATAGATAGCATGACACGCTCGATAAAATCGAAGGCGGTAGTTTTGAATCCAACAAATGTGTCGATGGTGGAAGTACGTCGCGGCGGCGGCGACCACCCTCATAGTGTCCAGGGCGGCGGCCGGACACGAGTGTATCCACAATGCACTGTCTCATGGCGTCCCCCTTGCGTCGTCGCAATCGTACGACGCGCATCCCCACGAAGGACGCTCTAGTCGGTACCTCAGCGCTCAAATGGACGCAGCGTCGGCATCCGTATCCGTGGGCGCCGCCAGCCAGTACAAGCCCATCCGCATCACGCCCATATTTGACACGGCATCGATGAACGCTCTCGGCGCGACCAACTTGAATTTTGTCAAAAACAAGCTGGTTGCCGACGCGTTGGCATTCTGGGGCCAAACGTTGCAGGTAACACTGACACCCTGTTGCTTTTCTAACAGTTTGCAGGTCATTCCCATCAACGGCACGTGGTTTGCACAACGCAACTGCATTCAGGCGTGGCAGACGTCGCCGCCAGTGTGCGCCGCAGTCGAGAGCCAGCAAAAGTGCATGGAAGTTCCCATCCCAGACAGCCACTTTGCCCCACTTCGCGTGTGCTCGACGTGTCCGTTGCAGGGCTGTGCTGGCGGCTCTTGCGCTTCGCCGTCGGCCGGAACGGGCGTTCCCAACACCGATTACGTACTGTACGTGCGCGCGGTGCAAACTGCCAGCTGCGGCACCAGTGTGCTGGCGTACGCCACAAGTTGTCAACTGGACCAGGTACCTCACGACGATTGGCATCGCAGCCGTACATATATTTCCCCCGTCTCATACTAGTCTTGGTGGGCGTAGTTTGATCGTCCCACCATGGGGATGGTGAATTTCTGTCCTCAAAAGTTAAACGCAGATGCGACTGTGTATGACAAACAACTCAACACAGCGACCCATGAGATTGCACACGCCTTGGGCTTCACGTCGCAAATGTTTCCTTATATGCGGCACCCCGACGGAAGCCCCCGCACGCCGCGCGACTCGTCAGGTAGTTGGAACGACATTGCAATGTTCGTTCTGTGTTGACAACCATGGTTATGTGGTACTTGTAGGCCAGCCCCCGATTCAGGAAGACTACAAGTGCCCAAATGGCGTCACAGCCAGCGTGATTCAGATGCCCAGCGACGCCACCGTGCAGTTCTTCACGGAGCGAGGCCACTCGGTGGCAAAACTGGTGACCCCCAACGTCTTGTCGTTTGTTCGCAACTACTTCAACTGCGCCACGCTAAACGGTGCGGAAATCGAAGACAGCGACGGCGGGTGCTTGGGCAGTCATTGGGAGGAGCGCATCTTCGAGCCGGAACTCATGAGCCCCCTCCAAAGTTATCGGAATCCCGTCTCTGGCCTGACCTTGGTACGCCGTTCGAACTTGAATATATTTATCTGTTGTTGATTTGATCTTATGCATAGTCGTACTTTCAAGACACGGGATGGTACCAAGTGAATTTTACTTCGGCGCAGCCCATGTATTGGGGGGCGAACCGCGGGTGCCCGTTTGCCACGGACAAGTGCATCCAAGGCACCGCCCCCGTGCCGACCGATCACTTTTGTGTGGACGCGTCCGTCGACAGCTGCTCGGTGGACCTCACGTCTCGCGCAGTGTGCACCGTGCGAACGACCACGGACGTGATTCCAGCATATGATCAGTACTTTTCCAACGATCCGAGCTTGGGGGGATCGTCGTTTGCCGACTATTGCCCCATCTACACGGGGTACAAGGGCGGGGACTGCTACCTCCCGTCCAATTTGCAGGCGCCGACAGGCACGTCGTTGAATCTCCTCGGGGAAACTTACAGCCCGACTAGTTTTTGCCTCAAGTCGACGCTGCTCACGACCAAAAACGCGGGCTGGAGCATCCCCGGTCGGTCCACCGGCTGCTACGCCACGACCTGCAGCAGTGGCGTCGTGTCCATTTCCGTCGTGGGGGCCTCGGGAACGTCCCTAGTGTCGTGCTCACAAAAGGGGCAGACGTTCACCGTCACGGGTTTCACAGGCTCGTTGGTGTGTCCGGATCCGGCCATCGTGTGCAACACAGGCCAGTGCGTACCGGCGTGCGGGGCCAACGCGATCTGCACGTCTGGTAAGTGCAACTGCGTGGACGGGTTCACGTCGGCGGAGGATGGGAATAAGTGCGCGCCCATCTGCCCCAACGCGTGCTCTGGTAATGGAGTTTGCGACAATAAAGCAGCCACGTGTACGTGCAACCCTGGGTTTGGTGCGGCAGACTGCAGCGCCACGACCACGACCACCAAGAAGAGCCACGCCGCCGTGGTGCCGCCATGTCGACTAGTAGTGTCGGCTGTTCTGTGGGTAGTAGCGTCCACGATGTTTGTGCTGTAAAGTGAATCAAAATGCACACCACCCGTTTCGACTCAACACGATATGTTTATTCAGTTTACTGGGGTCGAACTGGACATGTTGTTACATGTAGCTAGCTAGCACCCCCCACCCCCCTACAAGAATCCATGCTGGTCCTTGTGTGGCAGTTGCAACAGTGGCAAGCAGACGGCGGCAACGTCCGAGTCGATCAGTATTCGCTGGACCAACCCCCGGACTTCAGCGTCGTCGCACGTGATGCACTGACATAGCGACGAAAACACTTCGAGCACACTCTGCGGACTCCGATTCCACGTTGTCAAGAGCACGACCACCCGATTCCGGTGCGAATTCGCGATGCCGCCTGGGGAGGTGGCCCCTTCAAGAAACGAAGCAATCGCTTGGACAAACACGGCGTTGAGCTGCTGCCGACACACGTCTCGCAGCGCACGGTTCGGGTTGGCGGGACCGCTGAGAATGGTCATGTGCTGGATGCAGGCGGACGCGACGCGGGGGTCGTCGTTGGACTGGAGCAGCGCCGCGAACCGACTGGCGAGGGCGGCGTCTTCGTACCGGCTCAGCATCATCGCACGGACGAGGCGGTCCAGCACGGCCAGTTGCAACGCCACCACGTCGTCGTCGGCTAGAGTATCCCCGGGGTGGAGCACGCCTTCCACCACTTGAAGCAGTGCCGCCACGCCCGACTGTGGCACTGTCGGCATCCCGCACCCGATCAGTGCCAAGAGCACTTTGAGTGCATGTTGCCACATGGTCATCGCGGCTCGGTCGGTGGCCGATACCGATGCTGGCACGACGTTGGTTTTCGATTTGGAATTAAAAAAGGGCCGCACAACTGCTAAGACTTCGGCAAACGTGGCGGATTGGGCGACCGGACTCACGCCCTCGTACATCTTGGCGAGACATTGCAGGGCGTGCCGCAGCACAAACACCAGCGTCGGCGCCGACGCCGCCGCGGACACAAACCCGACCACGTGGCGGACGATGGCCACGTGTACGGCCTCGTCAAAGTACCCGCACTCGTCGTAGCTGTTGAGGATGCGGGCATGGAGGCTGTTGGTCGTGATCACGAGCGGCGGCGCGTTCGGTTGGGTGGTCAGCACGAACCGGTGCATGCTCTGATCAAACACGTGGAGGATGCGGTCGAGCTGGACCACGTCGTGGAGCTCCGTGTCCTTGGACTGGAGGTAGATGGACACGAACACGGTCACCATTGCGCCGGCAATGTCCTGGTCTTGGGCGCTTGGTACGTCGCCAGTCGCTCGATCGTGGGCGAGTCGGAGCAGCAGCTCGAACGCTTGGGTCCACAGCTGCGGGTCTCGACTGAGGAGAGTCGGCTTCTTTTTCGCCGACATGTCAAGGCTGTCTGAAGTGGAAGTACACACGCCGTTGACGACGCGCATGCCGACGCCAGCTCGCAACGGGGCCAGAGACAGGTCCTGGCTCGACGTCGAGGCAATCTGTAGCAACGTGTGCAGCGTTTGAATGCCAGCTAGCACCACTTCCTTGGAGCTGGACGGGTCGGTACAACTGGCGGCAATGTACCCAATCAGGTCCTTCCACACTGTCACAAACCAGTCGGCATGGAGGAGGAGCGACGCCGTGTTGGTCTGCAGTACGCGGCTCACGCCCGCCAGCACGAGCACCCGCGATTCGTCGTACTGTTTGGCCACACTGTCTCGAGAATGATGCAATACCACGACCGGAGTTAGCGGTGGCACGTCCCCGTCAGCTACGGACATCTTGGCGTCCGACGCCACGACGGCAGACAGCTGATGGGCCAGCGGCAGCACCGTGCCCTGCAAGAAGATGGTCCATTCCACGAGCCGGAACTGCGCGCCGTGCGTCACGGCCGTCCCAAACAGAGTGTTGATCGCACAATTGCGCACTTCTGGCCGCGTGTCGAGCGCAATCTGCTTGAGCTCGGAGAACGCCGTGGGCCACAAAGCCACTTCATCGTCGTCGTCCGTCAAAGTAGTTTTCCGCTTGGCTATCGTGTCGGCCAGTGTCCACAGCTCGTTGACCGCTGTGAGGCTGATGTTGACGTCTTTTGCACACGAAGCGTACACGCCGACGCACGCGATGCACGCGCGGCGGGACGGACTCTGCATACCCACGACCAAGTCGTCAACAATCAGCCGCAGGCTTTTGAACGCCACGACCTGGCACCGCGCGTCGGCTTCGGCGCTCGTGCCGAGGGCCTCGAGGATGGCTGGCCATGCGTCCTGTGTGATGAGGTGGCCCGTGGTCTGAAGCAGGTCCAGCAGGCCAACTAGCGCCCTTTCCTTCATCTGGTCGCTTTGAATCGCGCGCAACACGTACGCGGTGACTGTGGATTGGCTCAGCGACGGGATGGTTGTGAGCGCAGCTTGGACCAGTTGGAACACGGCGTCGGTCGCGTACATTTGAAACGGCAATGAAGAAGGGGAGGACGAGGAGGTCGGGGACAGACACACAAAGCCCACGAGTTCGTCCATGACAAACGTCCACGCGTCCACGTTGGCTTTGGCCAGCTGCACAAACATACGCAGTGAAAACGCCGGTGTAAACGGTGCAGCATTGCTGTTGTTGTTGCCACCTCCACCGATGCCCAACGTCGTCTCGAATGTTTTGACGTGGAGGCCAAACGGTACACTGAGCACATCCCACGCGGTTTGCTGGTCTGGGGACCACAGCGCCAGCAGCTGCTGGAGTTCCTCTTCGACCAGCATCGCGTCGTCGGTGGACGACTGGGATGCAACGGTACTACTACTAGTGGGGGCAGCGGCGGGGGGAAGGTGGCTGATTTGGTCGTAGCAAATGCTTCGAATCGCCCGCAGGATGTGCAGCAACGACGACGGGTGCAACGCCGACGTGTTGGTGAAATACTCCAAGATGGACTGGCCCAGCATGACGAGCTGCTGCTCGACGTCCTCGTCCTCCACTTTGACTGCGCTCGGACCGGTGCCGATGCGCTGGTTCACGCCCTTGGTCTTTTGCTTCAACGCACTTAGCCCCACAATCACCTCAAACCCTTCCAGCAGCGTCCGCCACTCGACTTCGTTGAGCTCTTGCTCCATCGTGTGGATCGTTCGAAACAGCGTCTTCATCGCGTGCATTTCCTTCCACGTCAATACACACTGCTGCTGCTGGTGGTGCTGCTGGTCACTATTCGCCATGCCGTCGCTGGCCCCCCCATCCCCCCCGTCGGGCCCCTCGATCGTCACGACCGCCCCATTGCCCGATATACACTTGACCACCCGCGTCGACATGTCTGGGGGCACGGGGAACGAAAACACACAAAGCGCTTGGATGGCTAATACCCCGATGGGGCGGCCGTCGAGGGGTATCCGGTCCCGCGAGTGCGCATTGACGTTTGTGAGCAGGTGGTACCCTTTGAGAGCGACTGTGACGAGCTCGGCTTCTCTGCAGAACCGCATCGTGCAGTGCAATGCGTTCATGACAAAGGGTGCGACGGAGCAGAGGATGTACTGGACCCGCAGAGGGCTCAGGTGGCGGTCGTTGGCGTGGAGGACCGTGAGGACGTGGTACTGGCACAAGAGTGAGATGCGCAGCACGTTGTAAAACGGCTGCAGGGGCGGGGCGTCCTGCTCGTTGAGGTACTCGAGGCCGCATCGGTACGGCATGGAGGCATCGACGTGCCCGGGGCGGTAGTCGCACGGCGGGGACGTGGCCACCACCGCCGCGACTGTGCGCGCGAGCACTAGGAGCAGGTGGTTCGGGTACGAAGACAGCGCCGGCAGCACATCCGGGTCCCCTAACGCTTTGTAGATGACTTCCATGGCTAGCAAGACATGCCACGTGACGGAATTCACGCTCGACGACAGGTTGTTGTGGGACACGTGGGGGGTGGGGGTGCTGCCGGAAGTCGAAGACAACGAGTGCATACTCCGAAGCTGGGGCGAGGCGTCGTGGTGCTGATGCGACCGCCTTTGCATGGGAACGAAGGGCGTCAGCGAGCTCTTGTTGGGCGAGTACGATCCTGTGGAGACGATTTCCACGAGCCCGAGCCAAATGGTGTTGCATTCATCCTGCAAAAGCGGGGTAAACTGGCTCAAGACGGTACTCGCGAGGCGCATGATGCGCAGAAGCAGTGGAAACGGCGTCGACGGCGACAAGTTGGACGCGATGAGATGCGTCGCATGTTGCTTGAGCATGCTGCGGAACTCGACGTCGCAGCGGAACAAGGACCCGTGGGACGTGAGCACGGCTTCGAGCAGCTCAACCCCAAGGATCTTGGAGAAGGTCGTGCGTTTCAGCCACATGCCGACCTCTTCGCGACTCATGAGGCACAAGTCCTGGAAGACGAGGAAGCCGACTTTCTTGGCGCCGTCAAGGTTCTTGGCGTCGGTCGTGATGTTGTCGAACACCATCGTCACGACCTGACGCAGCGTCATGACGGCCGTGTTGGCCGTGATCGCGTTGCCGCTCTGGCTTTGCAGGTGGAGGCAGATCCAAATCGCTTGGCTGATCAAGTCTTCGTTCGTCATTTGTTCGTCGCCTTTGTTGAACGCCAGCGTGAGCAACTGCAGCAACGTTTGCAGCAACTTGAGCTGGATGTCTTGGTGGCTGTTGCGCTCGGCTTGGATTTGCAGCACGCGGAGGATGTTGCCCACGGCCTCGCTCGTGATGGCATCCCACGACACGAGCTTTTGGATGCTGTTGAACGACGCAATCAGCAGCTTTTGGCTCGCAGTCGCATGGTTGCACGCGAGAAGGAACGGCCGCAGGATGGCATCGCATTTGAAAATGGCGTTGCCCGGGCCGGGGGCCGCCTCCACGCGCAGCATCTGCGCATACAGCTGTCGTATCTGTCCAATCTTCTCAATGCCCTTCTCCGCTGCATCCTTGACCGCCGGCAGCTTCTTCTTGGTCTCTGCCTCCACCAAGTTGAGGTCCTCTTCGATCGACCGGAGGAAATCCATGCCTTGTGCGGTCGAAGATGGATTTTGCACGCACTGTCCCCGCCCGGATGTTCAAATAGAAAAATTAAAGTGGAATACATTGCTTCATTTATACGAGCAGAGATGTTTAAAATGTCAGGAGGGATGTCGGAATTCCGGATAAAATGTCCGGTTGAAGGTCATAATTCGCGAACGTCAACTTGCCTGAAACATGACATTTCGCACCTGTGACGTACAACCTCTAACATTAATTACTGTAGCGACAACCTGCCTCAACACAGGGTCTTAACCATAAGATATCCAAAATGATGTGATCCACACCAGTGCGGTCACAACTACAGAGCCCACCGCCGAGTGTGACGTCTTGGGGACTGTGGTCGTGGTGGGACTCGCTGTGATAGTCGTGTCATTCGCTGAAGCTGACGGTCCTGGTGATGTGGTCGAGTTGGCCGACGGTGACGTAGGTTTGGGAGTCGTGGATGGTGATGTGGTCGAGTTGACCGACGGTGGCGTAGGTTTGGGTGTCGTGGATGGTGATACGGTCGAGTAGGCCGACGGTGGCGTAGGTTTGGGTGTCGTTGATGTTCCTCCAGATGAGCCAACCGTGGGTGTCGAGGTGGTGGGGGTCGTCGTCGTTGTCATCGTAGGAGAGTACGTTGTGACGACGGGGGGTATCGACGGCACGACTGTGTTGTTGACCACAGTTGGCGTTGATGTCGTTGTCGCAGGAGCCACCACGGGCGTGCATTGACCATTGACGCACATGGCTCGAGGTCCACAAGGAGTGGTGCATTGAGCCAATTGGCACACGACAAACGGGTCGGGGCACGTCAGGGTTCCAGTAAAGCCGGCGACGGTCACGACTTGACCCTTGTACTTGCATTGTACCGTCACAACTCCGTTGTCGGCAGCCTTCACGCTCACTTGGACCGTCTGTCCATGGCATGTCATGGGGTAACATCCTGCCGCTCGAGTGCGGTACTCGTAGCCAAACATGTTGGCTAACCGGAGCGACGACAGCGTGCAGCGACTAGTGTCGTTGCCGTACATTTCTCCCATAGGCGTGAGATTCGTGTTGGGGATGAGCGCCAAATTCGACGCATTCAAACAGTCGCCTTGGCTGTACGCTTGTTGTACGGGACAATAGTCTCCAAATTCACTGTACCTGTGGACGACAACCAATACTACATTAATATCGGCTCAAACTTGAAGGATCTCGTACCCTCCAGTGGTAGGCGATGCAAAGTACTGAAACCACGGTGGAATGTCGTCCGCTGCGTAATCTGTCTTGAGGGAGCACCACGACCGGGAGAGGCCGTCGGGGGAGCACGCTTCGCCGTCCGCTGCGCAGTACGTCGCGACATCGACAGGCTTCAGGTTGCCGCTGGTGGTGGTGGTGGGTCCCACGCAGTTGTCGCTTGAAAAGGCACAACCCTTATTGTTGCCCCAAAGCAGCGGCTCTGCCACGCTAAAGTTGGCCTGGTACCACCCCGTGTCTTCGAAATACGCCAGGGTCAACGCTGACGTGGGGTTCCGGTAGTTTACAACAGGGGTCATGAGTTCCGGACCAAACAGTCGCTCTTCCCTGTATGCATCATCACCATGAGTACAAGGTGATTGATACTATCGCATTACTACGTATATAATCACATCTCTTCGTAGAGGTTGTTGTCGTCTTACCAATGCGACCCCATACACGACCCGTCGTTGTTTTCAATTTCCGCACCCACGACACTCGAGCAATTGAAGTGGCTTGTGGCAAACGCCACCACCGTGGGGGTCGCCATGTACGTGACTGCGTGGCCCCGCACGTTTTGGTACACAACTGTTGCGTTCGACGGTAGTCCCGTACTAGTGATGGAGGTTCCATTGGCGCAGGTGCCGGTAGACGCCACCGCGCGGCCAGTGCGACTTCCCCCTTGGCGAGTGGTGCGCGGGGTACCATCGCGATTCCGCATGAGGGGAAACGACGCAGATGAGAACCCGAGGGCATGGGCGAACTCGTGGAGGGCCGTGGTGACTTGGATGTCGTACGAGGGACCTTCGAGGGTGGACGTGTCCAAATAGTCGGGGCAGAAGTTGATCATGCCAAAGGTGGGGCGGTCGAATTGGTCTCGCTGGCACGTGATGGCGTACGCCAAGGTGTTGTCCGTGCACCGACTGGTTGTCATTGCACGGATGTACATGACCATGTCCGCATTTGGAATCCCCGTGTTGTTGGGCCGGACAACGGTGCAGTTGCCCGTGGCGCAGCCCGCGCTCAGACATGTCGAGCACACTCGAAGGGGGCTGTAGTGCTCTGGGGGGTAAGGCATTTCAAAGCAATACGAGGACGGAGCGAGGTTGGCGCACGTGGACGGCACGGTATTCCATGCAGATGTGCAAGGGGGGGCTGCAAATAAGCTGCCTTGGACGGGGATCACACGAAGTGCTTGGGACCAGAACGAGACCGCGGCGGGTACCAAGTAGTCGACCACGAGCGAGCGCTTGTCAGACAGGAGGGCACCCAAAGTGACGTTGTCGAAGTAGGGCACGACCCGAAGCGGGGACCCGGATGTGGTACTGGTGGAGGTTTCCAGGTGTCGAATCGAACGAGACGTGACGGACGCCGAAGCGTCCAGATCGATCGACTGCAAGCCGTAGCTTTGCGACCACGCGGACTCGGACACTGCGCCTGCAACTTCGTCGTGGATGCAGTGATGACCAGCAACAATTGCCGCCAGTGAGACAGCCACTGCCAATCGCGGCATCTTGAATTCTGAAAAAAAAAAAGAGCGCGACATGATGGCACTTGAGCTATCTTTAGCGTTTAACAATGTGCATTGATTGCAAAGGATCGAGGCTAGGTCGGTCCGGAAATGCAAGAATAACGACACGAGGGATGGGTAAACGGGTCAATTCGATTAGTTGGTTGATAGTAGGGGTGATGATTTAATCATGGGACGCATGAATCATCATTGTCGCGATGGAGCTATCACGATGGTGGAGTAGCAGCAGTCGACTTGTCGTCGTGCGGGTGGTTGTCGTAGTTCTGATAGGACGTGGTGTACTGAACGTTGGCTACGATTTCATCGTGGATGCAATGCTGGCTCATGGCAGCTAGCGCTTTTAGTAACAGCACTATCAAGGTCAAGCGCATGGGAACTCTGGCAACGACAAGGAAAGTGTGCGGCTACTGTGCCAGTTTCACCAGCCGTTTCACTTTTCAGCCAATGAACGGTGACTTCCGAAAGGCCTCGTGGATCTTGGAGGGTCGCCACCAGTGCATGTGATGGCGTCCATGACCAACCAAGAAAGCCACAACCAGCCACCAGCCGCGCCCGTGGTGCTGTGCAAACGAAAAGACTTTCTCGACACAGACGAAGCGGCCAAAAGCCATCCCAATCGAACGTACTACTACCGAAAAGAAGCCGACATTGCAAAGGTCATTGACACTTGCACCAAGAAACTCGCTGCGAATCCGACCGATGCCACCACCATTGCCATCCGCGGCGCCTCCCACATGAAAAAGATGGTAACCCCTAACCACTACATATCCCAACAACTAAAACAAATGATCACTCGGGGCAAACGCTGTGATGGAATATTTGCGTAGGAATGGGCTCAAGCCGTGGACGACTTTGGACAAGTGCTCAAACTAAGCCCCATGGATGCGAATGCGTACTACAAGTACATTGCTATACACTCGACGGCATAATGTGTGACGGAGTTGTGACGCATGTAGTCGGGGGATTGCATGGACAAATCTGAACCAGTCGCAAAAGGCCATTGAAGACTTTACACACGCCTTGTTGTTGAATCCGAACCACATCAATGCTGCATATGCTCGGTATGTAGTGGGGGGGTTCTACATCTCCTTTAGCCGTCCCAGGACGAACGTTAAATAACGGTTTGCCGCGAGCAGGGCATCGTGCTACAACAAGCAAGGCGACTTTTCTCGAGCAATTGAAGACTACCACTTTGCACTAATGAAAGACGAACAAGTGTCCAACAAAACCAAGCAGGCCAAACCAGTCGCCAAGCCCCCCGCGCCTGTTTCAGTCGCGTCAAAGCTTCTTCCAGCAGAGAACAGCATTGCTAGCCTCCGTCGCAATGGAGGCAGCGTCCCCTCCAGCATGACTTTGGGAGTTGACGTGTACACAAAGCTCCGGGAACGAGAATTGCTCGACGCCATGACCAGTCAACTCCAGTAGGATGTGTGCACCCCCTCCATGCTTGGAAGTTGTTTTCATGGTGGCATCGCAGGATTTCCAGAAGCACCCAACAGACCACACCAAGAGCAAGTCCAGGCTCCAATCATACTATGATGAAGACGATGAAAGGTATTCAAAGTGCACACGTATCTAGCATATCAATCCTATACTTCCTGCGTTTAGCAGTCGCCGCAGGAGACAGGGCACACGCGACCAACCAGCCTGACCACGACGCCACTCTTACGATTCAGACGACGCCACTAGACTCTGAAGAGCCAGCAGCCATGGACAATGGGAACGAACCCGTCGAAGTCGTTGGGGACCCTGCAGAAGTGCATCATGCTCGGGGGTTTGCCCTTCGACGCGAAGGGCACTTTGAGCTAGCGATTGAAGCGTATTCCAAGGCCATTAAGCTCAATCCGACGTAAGCAAACATTGCGTTGGTTCAAATATCTGGTTTTCAAGAGATATATATTTCTTCCACTGAAATGTTTATGTATTAGACATTTCAAGGCGTATTTCAATCGCGGGTTCGCGTTCGACAAGCTGCGGCAATTCGACCGTGCCATCCAAGACTACACGAGTGCCATCGCGTTGGACCCGTCGAACGCGTTTGCGTTTTACAATCGAGGCATTTCCCTCGACCGGTAAACAACCATCAAAAACGACTGGGGGGTATCAAATCACTCACGCTGGTTTTGACTTGTGGGAATCCAACAGGAGCGGCAGGTACGCGGGGGCTGTGGAAGACTTCTCGAAAGCGATCCAGCTCATGCCGACCAACGCCGACTTTTACCACAACCGCGGGTTTTGCCATCGCAAACAGGTAAACACCGAGAGGAAACCACACAAAGGTTGGTCTTCACAGGTTGTGTGTTGTCGAAGGGCCGGTATGACGTGGCAATTCGAGATTACTCGGCCGCGATCGAGTTGAACCCGACGCATTTCAAAGCGCTGTACAATCGAGCGTTTTCGTACGACAAACTTGAAGCGTTCGACGCGGCGATCGCGGACTACACGGCGGCGATACAAGTGGACCCGAAGAACGCCAATGCACTGCATAACCGAGGCAGTACGTGGGAAAAGGTACTGTATCTCATCTTGCGTATTGTCCATTTCCTCACACTTCTTTGTATAACTGGTAGATGAAGAACCTGCCCGAAGCCATCCAGGACTTCACCATGGCTCTCGCGCTGCAGCCCGACGCCGCGTCCACGTACAACAGCCGTGGACTCGCGTACGACCAGCAAGGCAAGCATGTGCTGGCCCTCCAGGACTTTCACGCTGCCAACCGCCTCGAGCCACAGAACCCCATCTTTCTCCACAACCGAGGTAGGGTTCGCTACAGTCTGTATATGATGATAGAGCATGGGGGGGGAGTAGGCTACTGCTTCCGCAACATGGGCGACTTTGACCGGGCGATTGTCGATTACACGGAAGCGCTGCGATTGGAGCCAGATAACGTCGCAGCGTACAGCAATCGAGGGTATGCTCGACGCAAGCAAGGGCGGTACGACGGCGCCGTCGACGACTACACCGCAGGTACGCCATCTTCTCCCAACATCTCAACATGCGCGCCACGTGGGTGGGCGTACTAGAACGACTTGATTGTCAAGAGCTCATGTGCTTTTGCTAGCGCTACGCCTGGACCCCAACAGCACCCGCACATTGAGCAACCGTGCGTACTCGTACGCGAAGATGGGGTGTCTGGTGGAATCGGTGGCCGACTACTCGGCCGTGATCACCCTCGAAGGGCACAATGCGTATGCGTATCACAACCGAGCGATTTTGTACGAAAAGTTGGGCCGTACGACCTTGGCCAAGCAGGACTTTATGACTGCGATGGCGTTGGACCAGACTTCTACTTCTTCGACGAGTAAACCAGTCGTCACGTCTTCACATACGCGGCGTTAACACGAAAACAAACGATGTAAGCAACCAGCCGTTGGTTGGTTGGTGTGATTTCATTGGGTCGCTAGTTATTTACAGCTTGAACCCGGAATGCACGGCCACGATGCCGTCCATAAAGTTGGTGTACGACACTTTTTGGAACCCCGCGGTTTCGATCATCGTCTTGAACGTGTCTTGGGGCGGGAATTGGCGGATGCTTTCCACCAAATACTACAACAACAAAATATATCCCAAATCGTCAATATATATATATATATATATATATTATTCAAGTCACTCGACCGAACGACCAACATTTCTAGTGTTCACGTTGTGCTCGAGTCACTTGTCTACCATAATAACGCAATCGGTATTATAGTATTACCTGGTACGACGCACGGTCCTTGGCCAAGAGCTCGCCCATGGCCGGAATCATGTTGAACGAATACTACACCCCCCCATAGAAAAATGAGAAAAAATTGTCAATCCCCCCCCCACCCCCCATGATGTGTGTGTTTCCACATTGCCGTTGTATTATGTACCGTGTCATAGATGGTGCGGAGCAGTGGATTTTGCACTTGGCTGAACTCCAAGCACATGAAGCGGCCGCCCTTGCGCAACACGCGGTGCGCTTCCGCCAGTGCTTTCTACCGCGCGAACCATGACGATTTGTATCCGATCATGATCGATGACGTACGTCGACATGGGTAACGTTGCGGATGCCAAAGGCAATCGTGTACACGTCGAACGAGTTGTCCTCAAACTTGAGCTGTTCCGCATCGCCTTCGACCCACGCAAACGACGGACGGGTGCCGGGAAGGCCGATGCCGCGAGCCGTCGCGCGCTCTTCGCCCACACGAAGCATGGAACCGTTGATGTCGCACACGACAATGTCTGTCCGGTCATCGTCCGTCGGCGAGTCAGGAAGGCCAGCACGCTTCAGTCGGTCGGCCATGCGGAACGCAATGTCGCCGGTGCCCCCGGCCACGTCCAAGATGCGGAGAGGTTCGCCTGTTCACAAGGTTTCGCGGTTACGAAAGTCGACAAGAGGTAGAGATCATACCATTGCGATGCGGCAGCGGGCCAAGCATGTTGACAAACTCGTCTTTCCATAGCCGATGCATGCCACCACTCATGGCGTCGTTCATGACGTCGTAGCTTCGTCATGAGGTTGATCAAGAATGACAACCTGAACGAAGCGATACGAGATTGCCTACCTATCGGCAACACTGTGGAAGACACCCGCTACCATGGGCTTCTTGTCATGCTCATCCACTTGCTGGAATCCAAAATGCGTCGTCTTGCTGCTGAAGAGGCGGCGCAGAGCTGCCGTCCGGCGCGGGTGCGTAGCAAGGGCGGCGAGGACTCGAACCATAAGCACCAAGCAACAAAAGTGTGATGTGCTGGAATGTGGTTTTCCGTATCCGGATATTCACGCGGTGAGATGTTTGGTTGGTGAGTTGTTCCTCACATTGCACACATTTCAAATGCCATCATCGACATTTTAAAGGCAGATTGCAGTGTTTGCGAGCCAGCCAGCAGAAAACTTGCAGCTAACGTTAGCATGCCATGTCTTGATGTAATCTGATGCGAACGAAGAGTTGATATGCGTTTAGATATCGATATTTGTGGCTGTCAAGCACACAAAACACCCATAGCTGGCTCCATAGAAACTTGAGGCGCCCGGGCGTTCTACGCCAACGCCGCCAGTTCCGCGAGCAACGTCGGCTCGTTCCCAACTTTGGCCAACTGGTCGTCGTTGAGCGTGTCGCCGCTAGCTTGCTTGGCTTTGATGTCGGCGATTTGCTTCAGTTTCTTCTGAATCGCTTTCGCCTTTTTCTGCTTTTCCTCGGGCGTCAGCACCACTACAACAGTTCCCAATCCGTGGGTGTTCAACTACCTACCCATAGCTAATAAGTACAAGCACCTACCTGGCTCGTCCGGGAGCGTCTGGGCCAGCAACGCCTGCGTCACGCGCTCCAATTCGGCTTTGGCTTCGGCCGCTTCAATCGCCTTCTTCTTCTTTTCGCTCTTGCTGGGCTTCTTCACCACAGGGGCATCGAGGCCCGGGATCACCTTGGTGGCCGCCACCGCCGAGTTGGACGGCGCGTACTTGTTGCGGTCGAGCTTGCGCGACCCGGCGCCGTCTTCCCGACGAAGCAAGTCGGCCAACGCGCCCGTCGAGTGCGGGGGGCGGTACGCTCGGCGGACGGGGGCGGGTGGCGCAGCGGCAGACGCTTCCGCCTCCTACCGACTCCATTACACAAACACGGACGGACGGTAGGGCGTACCGATTCCTTGGCGCGGGGGCTGGCGGGGCGGTTCGGGTACACGCCGGCGGCGGCGGGGCGGAACTGCAAGTCGTACACTTCCGTGCGGCTCTCCGACACGACGGGACCGGTGCCGTCGTACTTGAACAGCTTGAAGCCGTTGTCGACGCGCACACGGGGGAACGTCGTGGCCGTGTAAAAGTACCGGCTGTCTGGCGACCAGCCATGGCTACAGACACGAAAATCAGTCCATTCGGTCGGGTTGTAAGGAATGATTTGTGTACGTGGTGGCACATTCGGCTTTGGTGGAGCCGAGTTTCTTGAGCTTGTTCCGGTCCCAAAAGTCCATGTTGCCGGGCAAGTTGCCGAAACCCTAGCCACGCACGTTATACATAGAACGATATGACATATTGTCAAATCGATTCGAAACAAACTCGAGCCATCGTCAGCAGAATCGAAAGTGCTAAGAGAATGAATGAACTAACCGCCTAAGCCAATCAAATCACGTGTTCTGTCGAGTTTCTGCCAATCCAAACGTTTGATTCGGCCAAGCCTTACTGTAAATTGGATCAAATGCTATGTGGCGAAATGACTCCCAAGTCCAAATTTGGATGAAATGCACAATGTTGTAGTTTCTAAACTGGAGCGACATGCAGAATAATGAAGTACTAAATGTACAGAAGAATATATCGGTAGAACGATCGAGCCAATCAAATTGCAGGACATCATCACCAGAATCGAATTAGTGTGAGACCTAAATTAGTGTGAAACCCCAACAACGTTTACCCATCCAAAATTCAGTACAACGAAAATCGATCCAAATCAACACAAAGGTATAAAACAAATTTTGTAAAAGGACAATATCGCCATGTCACACACCAATGATATATAACTTCTCGGAGTTTGTCGTATATCGGATATGACGGGTTTGTTTGCACATATATATATATGAAGAATTGGACAAGTTCGAGATGACACACCGCCAAACACAAAAAGCGGCCGTGGGGACTCCAGCTGATGACGTTGCGCCACGCCGACCCGAATTCAAACACGGGGCAGGCCTTGTTGTCATACAACTAGAAACAACCACACAACCGGATGTTAAAATGATTACGTCATATGATCACGTGATACTGTGGCATTGCTTGGCATGGCGCCGGCAATCACGACAAAGCCCTTGGACGTCGGGTCCCACTGCACATCGTGGACCGTGCCTTCCTTGGTCAACGGGATGCTGCAGTCGTATTGTCCATCACTACGTCAAAGTGCAGTTTTCAACAGTGTCACACATATTTTGTCGTCACCACTCTACCTTTGGACGTAGAACAGATTCGTTTCGCCATAGTACGACTTGCCCGACGTGTCGACGTCGGTGGACGTTTCAATGATCAGCGCGCTGCCGTTTGGCGCCCACTTCATCTTGACGTCTTGCGCCTTGTAAAAGCTCTTGAACGCCACGTGGGACTGCGCGGCGTTCGGCGGGAACGGAAACACGCGCACGCTCGCTGGTTTGCCCTTCTTTTCAGGCACAAATACAGCAATCTTGTACGGAAGCCCCCCCGGGGCAACGCTAAAGCTGGCTGCGTTCTATACAGCAAGTACGTTGTAAGAATTTATATATATATATACATATATACATGTACTATTTTATAAATTACTTCCAAAGTATATATATTTATATAAATTGATATAAATCATTTTATCATTATTTATATAATTTGATATAATTCATTGAAGGATTATATGAGCATTCTTTATATAAATTGATATAAATCCTTGAAGGATTTATTATGCTTTTGTAATAAAAAGGAAAGTTACCTCCAACGCAATGTTGCCGATGGACCCGGCCCCAATAGCACGGCCGTTGAACACTTGCACCTGCGACACATGACGGTTAGTATGCCATATGCGTTTCGTACTACTACTAGTAGTATTACTACGCACCCCGCTGTTGCTTTGACGCGCGGCAATCAGTTCGTCCGAGCTCCATTGCAACGAAGGCCATTGCTACAATAGTTAGTTAACGAATGGAGTAGTTAGTAGACTACCTCGCGAGAGTACGTTTTTTGACTAAACCGCGCAATGATCGAGCCCGACGTGGTGTCCCACACAATCAAGTTGCCTGAAGGTACCATTTTCGTTAATGATATGTTGATAGGACATGCGATGGTGGGAAGTACCTTCCGTGGGCGGGGCGTCCTTGACAGGTCGTTGCCACGTGACCAAATGCGTGCCAAGCGGCGACCATGCTGCGGCTTGAATGCCCGGGTTCGACGCTTGAACAAGAACGTCCGATCTGTCGGTTGTTTCCATGAGTGCATTTTCAAGGAATTAGGAGGAACGAACGTATCGGTGTTGCGAATGACAAATCCAGAGTCCTGCGAGATGAGGGCGATTTTCGATCCGTCCGGGCTAAGATGCAACGCATCGGCCGTTTCCAGCGTGTCCAAGGCCGTAATGGAAGGCCGTTCGGCGCCTTCCTCGGTCACCGACGGCAAGCCAAAGAACGTTTCGACGCCCTGACAAGGCAATCATCAATGGACGTGCATATTTGAGCGTGTATCTCTTTACGTACATCTCGGCCGCGGAGGAAGAACTTGGTTTTCGGTGTGTCTATATAGGAGCGTCATGAGCAATTTGCGTTGCTCCTCGCATGTATGTGTTGTACCTGCGGCGACGGCGACAGGTGCGGTGGACATGCTGGTGATGGGTTGGAGGGGTGTTTGGTGAACAGCAATGTCGTACTTATCGCTTAAAGCATTAAGTACGCAATACGGTACCTAATTCAGTAAGGATTTTGAAATACCCTATTATTGGGTGGGAGGTGGCGTCGAGAAATACTGCCAAATACCCTATTGAATTTCGCCAATGTGTTACATGTCCCTTGGACAAAGTCGACGACGAGATTTATTTCGTCATGTCGGGCGCGACACCGCCGCGGTACCCTCTTCGCTCGCGGCGCCAAGTCCAGGCACCTCAAAATGCCGAAACGTTGGTCCTGGAGACGAAGGAGAAGGTAGACGAAGCCGCCCTGCCGTCTCCCATCCGGTCGCCAGTGCCCACGACATCCAGCAATGCGTTTCGAACAAGCCGCGAATATAACCTCGAAGGCATGCTCGGTTTCAAAGAAGAGCCTCGACAGATCCTGTTCCTGTTTCTGCTCGTGATCTCCGTGGCGTACTATTCGTTCACACACGACTCTGACGTACGTCGGTACTCTGCTCGTCCGCGATTGACCATTATGACTGTCGTAGGACATTGCCCAAAACGTCAGGAACGGCGGCATCTCAGCCGCGTTCATCTTTCTTGTGTACTGCTTCCTACAAACACGGGATGGTCTCTTGGTACGAAAGCCTCCACAACTACTATCCTGATCGATCATGCGCTAGGTCCGGCCGCATCCGGGTGTGTGGCGCATCGTCCACGGTCTTGCCGTCCTGTACCTCCTCCTCATGGCGGTGCTATCGGTTCAAAACGCCAAGTCGGCCACGGCAGCCATCCGAGTTCTGTTCCCAGAGGTTGGTGCCGCGACGAAGGCGGCGTCCACAACGCCTCGGCCGCCGTTGGAATGCGAGCTCAACATGATGGTACATTCATTCTCCGCCAAACAAACGCTCACATGCATTCTCCCATGCAGAGTTTGCACCGAGGTGTGTCGAGCATTTGGTTTCTCGCGCATGTCACGGGGTGGTGGGGCAAGATGTGCATGTTTCGCGACTGGCGGTTCTGCTGGGTGCTCGGCATCGGGTTTGAGTTGCTCGAGCTCATTTTCCAATGCATCATTCCCGACTTTCAAGAATGTTGGTACGACCCCTGTCAAATTTATATATATATATATATATATATATATATATTGTGTGTTCTATTCAAAATGTCCTCTGGCGGTTGATTACAATCGCCGGACCTTCGAAATTTCATATAAATCGAAGTTGAAGAGGTATCTTTATGACTGCACTACTCCAATCAATCTATCTTTTTATCCAATCAAATTGCAACCTTCATTCTTTGTAGCCAATCATCATACTCCTTTGCTCGATTAGTTGGCGATTTCATCAATCCCCCAAAATACAAACAAATTTGACTGAAAAGCACAATATCTTTTTGTTTTTAATCCTTTTTTATTCTCTCGTAGGTGGGACTCGTTGTTTATGGATTTGTTGGGCGCCAACTTTCTGGGCATGTGCCTCGGCAGATTGACGCTCAAGTACTTGGAAACCAAGGAATATGATTGGTCGGGCAAACGCAGCGAGCAGCGCGGGTACTTTAGCCGCGCGATAAGCCAGTTTACACCGTTCAGCTGGTCGCGGTACGACTGGGAAGTGTTTTCCAGTGCCAAGCGCTTCTTCATGGTGCTCGTGGCATTGTTCGTGTGTCTGTTTTCGGAGCTGAACGCGTTCTTCCTCCTCACGACCCTCAGCATCCCCAAGGACAGCAACCTCAACAAGTACCGCCTCGCAGTCATGTTTATGCTCGGGATTCCCGCCGCCGCAGAGTACTACGAGTTCGTGACAGACCCCAAGTGCTATCGCCTCGGCCAGAACGCGTGGATGATGTGCTGCATCATTGTGTTTGAAATGCTCGTGTGGGTCAAGTTCTCGGAAGGACTTGAGCAGATGACGTCGCCCCCGTTCGACGTCGTCGCGCCCCTCGTGACCTTTTCCGTGCTGTTTTCCCTGTGGATGCTCCTGTATTTCCGCAAAAAGGTGAGAAATATTTGAAATATGAAAAAAAAATATATTCGATCAACTAACGATGGACGAAACAATGCAGGGACCGGCCGCCGCCAAGACGCTGGTGCCGTTAGACATTCTCTTCTACGTGTCGTTTTTGCCGCTGACGTACCTGTCCAAGCAGTGGGCGTATTGATTGGTCCTGCCGTAAACGAGAATATAATCGACGTTAATAGAAGTGGTGACATACTTACAGTGGTCGACAGCTTCGAGGGGGCCTTTGGCGGTAATTATTGTGACATATACGTGAGCAATAAACAGTTAATATGAAAAATCGTAAAATAAATTTTTATAGATCTAAAGGTGAAACTAAAGCAATATTATGTGATCCTAATAGATCAGCTAATATTGCTAAGTGGAGTAGTGCATAACCAAACCTACGGCATGGGCATTTAAACACATTCTACTGTAGGTGTTGATATTCGGGCTAAAGCGATATATTCTGCAAAGTTTCAACATGAGTCAATTTTCACCGTATGACTTAATATATATCCACATATAATAAACGCGATTTACATTGGATGCAAAAAATTACATGTTTCAGAAAAATAATCTCATACTTCGAAGTACTAGCCTAGTACTAGTAATCGATACCAGTACTACGTAGTATCGACTACTGTTAATCCTTTCCTGATTTTTATTATATTCGCATTTAAAAAAACAACCAAGAACAGTTATTATTATTAATGGTTGAAATACTACCTTTATTTAACGGTATTTGATTGGTCGAAATTGTAACCAATGGTTGCAGTTTTATCAACGTCACAGCATGGACGAAGGGAACCATTCCACGAGCGACGCGACCGGGGAGTCAGCATGGCTTCCTGGCGTGAAGGCCCTGCATAAGGAGCTGATGGCACATGCACTTGCATGGCCGTTCTTGGAACCTGTGGACCCCATCAAGTTGAATATCCCCACGTACTTTCAGATCATCGAACAACCGATGGATTTCGGCACCATGCAAGCCAAGTTGCAGGGGTCGTCGTCTGCTGCGAATGACGTCGAGGGTGACGACGGGATGGCCGGTGCGTTTGGAGGCAGTAGTGTGGCGATCAACTACACCAGTTTGGACGAGTACAAGCAAGATTTGTTCCTCGTGTTTCGCAACGCGATCAAATTCAATGCCGACGACGGCAGGGAAGAGTCCGTGGGGTATGTACATCCATTTTTGTGTGAAAGGAACTCGATGACTGATGTGGCTTGCGACTTAGCAATATCGCAAAACGATTGCGACAGCATGCTCTGAAACTGCTCGCAACAACCTTTGGGGTACGAGGATTCGGATGATGATGATAGCTTCAGCGACGAGATGACACTGAACTCGTAGGAATCGAGCCTGGCGTGGGGGGAAAGGATGGAGCTCGGCACGCTGGAGCGTCAGGTCGCAAATGCCAAGGAACAGAAGCTACGGGAACGATGGAAGGGCCAATCGTTCGTGGCGAGGATGAATAGGCAAAAGATTCAAAAACGAAACGAATCAGCTATGCAAGGAAGCCCATGATGGTAATCGGTGAATGACGTTCTCGTTTCCTTGGCGGACGTTGCAATGTAGCATGTCCACCCATATGTACTTGCGCAAGATTAGCGTTAATATGGGCCGTTTCACCCATTCAATTCTAATCTAAGTTGGTTACTTGGATATCACTTGTGTAGGTCCATAGCTTGGCTGGAGGTAGACGTACAAGAGGCCTCGGTACCTCGGTAGGCAATAAAGTTAACCGTAAGATTGAAAATTGAGCTAGGTTCCATTGCAAGATGAGACATGTTGAAGGCGTGAGATTACCAGGAGATGCCATCGATGTGATGCAAGCGTTGTGTTAGCTTCGGTGGCACATGGCTTTCGACATGGTAATTGGTGTTTGCCACATGACATACCATATGCAAAAATCACCTCAATCAGTACAGTAGTACCACTTCATATCAAAGTATCGTGGTCCAATCATAAAGCTACCGCTCTAGCGCTACAAGCGCACCATACGACAAAGGCCACGATCATTTCGACCTTATCTCTCACCTCTTCCGCATGGATCTTTAAGGGATAACTCCAAACTTAACGCATGGAGTAGTAGTTCTCATCTCGGAGTACCCAAACGATACGTGATAAGGGAATTATTCGAGTTGATCGAAAATATCCGGATGTTTGCCTTGGTCCGAAATCGATTGGTGGATTTGGGCCAATCAAAACACCCGTGGAGACGAGGGGCAGCCCTGAACTCAAGATCGGGCCATACAAACTGCGAGTGAATTTATGATGTGCACCTTGAACACAAACTTCCCTCGATGGTCATTTGGAGATCGGCTCAACCATGCTCGCCACTGCTTCCAAGACTTTGTTCACGTCGGCCAAGAGCCAAATCCGCCGCTCCACCACGGCCAGTTTGCAGGTACATGCGTCACTGTCGTGATCTTGTCTCACGCACTGGTGGTGCATAGTGGGCCAAGGACTTGAACAAGCCGCTTAAGGAAACGGACCCCGCGCTGTTCGACATCATCGAGCGTGAGAAGCAACGTCAACGCAACTGCTTGAGTTTGATCGCGTCTGAAAACTTCACCTCTCGCGCCGTGTACGATGCGTTGGGGTCGGTCATGTCCAACAAGTACTCGGAGGGGTACCCTGGCCAGCGCTACTACGGCGGCAACAAGATCATCGACCAAGCCGAACTGTTGTGCCAGAAGCGTGCGTTGGAAGCGTTCAAGCTCGACCCGGAAGTATGGGGTGTGAACGTTCAGAGTTTGTCGGGGTCGCCTGCCAACTTTCAAGTGTACACGGCGCTGTTGCAGCCCCACGACCGCATCATGTCGTTGGACTTGCCCCACGGCGGCCACTTGTCGCACGGGTTCCAGACCGGCGCCAAGAAGATCTCGGCTACGTCCATCTTCTTTGAATCGATGCCGTACCGATTGGACCCGAAGACCGACCTGATCGACTACGACTCGTTGGCCACGAACGCCGAACTGTTCCGCCCGAAACTCATCGTCGCCGGCACCAGCGCGTACTCGCGCCACATTGACTACGCCCGCATGAAGGAAATCGCCGTCGCGGTATGTATCATATCATCCATCCCCATCCTCGTTTACGACATGACGAGTAGAACAATGCGATCTTGTTGGCCGACATGGCGCACATCAGCGGTCTCGTCGCCGCCGGCGTCGTGCCCTCTCCGTTTGAATACGCTGACGTGGTCACGACCACGACCCACAAGTCGCTCCGTGGCCCCCGTGGCGCCATGATCTTCTACCGCAAGGGGACTCAAAGCGTGGACAAGAAGGGCATTGGTATGGTCCTTTTACTCCAAAGTTGGACGTTTGTGCTGATTCTTTGCCAAATCCATCGATCGATTGATTGTCTTGACTTTTGTATGTAACGATAGTATCACACTAATTCGAAGTTCCATTGGTCGACGATTTGATTGGCTAGTTGATTCGTGTTCTGGGTTTTGATTGGTCGTATATCGATTGTCTGCCGATTTGGTACTGCCGCACATTCGATTCAGCACCCCACTCCAATACTCCGGAGTACTTCGAATCGACTTTCAATATTGTGCTTTCGAGTGAAATTTCGTGTTGTGGTGTGGTTTCACGTTGGAATTTAAATCGATTTGATTGGCTACTTCAGAAGAGCTCATAATTATTAGCCAATCAAAAGCTTCTCAATGAAATTTAACCAATCAGATCGATTGTGGATCGGTTTGGTCGGCGCGATTCGATTGCAAATCGACAATATTAATATTAATAATGATGTGCAATGTCCGTAGAAACCAAGTACGACTTGCAAGGGAAGATCGACTTTTCCGTGTTCCCGGGGCTTCAAGGCGGCCCCCACAACCACACGATCTCGGCGCTCGCGACCGCGTTGAAGCAAGCCAACACGCCCGAGTTTGTCGCGTACCAAAAGCAAGTGCTCGCCAACTCCAAGGCGCTGGCAACTCGTTTGATGGACATTGGGTACAACCTCGTCTCGAACGGCACCGACAACCACTTGAGCTTGGTCAACTTGAAGAGCTCCAAGGTACACACTACTAGTACTTACTACTAGGAGTGCTTACCAACAACAACCCTGACCTGACGTGCTAGGGCATTGACGGCGCACGTGTGGAATTCCTCTTGGAAGAAGTCAACATTGTGATCAACAAGAACACCGTCCCCGGCGACAAGAGCGCGTTGGTCCCTGGCGGTATGCGCCTCGGCGCTCCTGCACTGACCTCGCGCGGGTTGACTGAAGAGGACTTTGTCACCGTGGCCAACCTCATCAACGAAGGCGTCGACTTGTCCGTGGCCATCAGCAAGGCCGTGACGGGCAAGAAGGTGCAAGACTTCAAGACGTACGTGATCAACGGCGGTCACAAGGCGGAGATCCAAGCGCTGGAAGAGAAGGTCGCGACCTTCATGCGCTCCTTCCCCACCGTCGGATTCGAAGAAAGCTCCATGGTGTACAAGGATTAATCGAATTTCGTAGTAATCACACAACCTTTCGCACCTTGATTTCCGGATAAAGGAGATCTAAATTATACGGATGACCCTGAAGCAAAAGCAATCCAAACCCCACCCACACACATACCATGGGCAATGTGATCAAGTTGAATGGCAACGTGTACAGCATACGTGGCAAGCTGGGCACAGGTGGCTTCTCCGAAGTGTACCTGGTTGAAGGCAGGTTGTGTCCGAACGCGCATCTTGCATCTGACGGCACAGCCTACGACGAAGGCAATGACACGGCGTACGCGCTCAAAGTCATGCAATGCGATGACGACGAACAACTGCGTCGCGCGCTCATGGAAGTGCAGCTGCATCGGCGCTTAAAGCATCCAAACGTGCTTCGGTTGATCGAGTCGGAGATTCGCATGAAGATGACACGGCATCACACAGCCGTGCAGAACGCGCTCTCCAAGACCAAGGAAGTATTGCTGCTGTTTCCAGTCTATCCCATGGGATCTCTGCAGCACCTGCTCGACAAAGCTCGCCGTAAGAACTCGCAAACATCACTATGGTATGCTTACCAAATGTGCTTTAGACATGCCACTCTTCGACGAGTCGTCATGCCTTCACATTTTCCTTGGCATTGCCCGAGGCGTCCGCGAAATCCACGCGCTCGGCCTCGCCCACCGCGACATCAAGCCCGGCAACGTCCTTCTTAGTGATACATACACTCCGGTCGTGATGGACTTGGGGTCGTCCGCACCGCTGTATGTGCCCATCAACTCGCCTCGCGACGCCGCCCTCGTCGTGGAGGAAGCAGCGCAGTTTTCCAGCGCACCCTACCGAGCTCCAGGTTTGCGCCCTCCTCGAACGTGTACTAGTTGACAATGTCATGCAGAGCTGTGGGACGACTCATTTCGAGGCACGGTGTGTGGCAAATGCGATGTGTGGTCGCTCGGGTGTACGCTGTACGCCCTTGCTTATGGGCCACTAGGGCCTTTTGAGTCGCGTTCGCATGGCGTGCAGCGCCTGGCCATCTTGAACGGCACTGTCACGTTCCCATCAAGTGCCACGTCATCCGGGGTCTCGGTGGCGTACGTGGCACTCGTTCAACGCATGCTCCAAGTCAACGTCGACGACCGACCGACACTCGACACTGTGATTGCCATTGCCGAAAAGGCAATGACTTCAGTTGTTCCTACTTTGTTAAACTCGTGATGTGTAGCTGCTGGAGACTCGTGCCGACGATGTCGGCGTCACGGGCAAGGGATTCCAACGCGTTCAAGACGGTGAAACCAAGAGCCACCAAACGGCAAAGCGGCTGGCTTATCGAGGCCGAGATGTTCTGAACCATGCGTTGGCGATGTGATGAACATAATCGTTTCGAGTGGTTAGAAATGTTGCTGGGCACTGTCTTGGGTGTGGAGTTTGATGCGTGATGATATGTCAAGTGAACTGCCCCATTCCTGCGGCAATAGTCTCCAACACCGTCATTGAAAGTACTGTACATGCACCGTGTTGTCCTGCCAAACCATCTCCATCAGCTCCACCACGTCGTCGACGAGTACAGTTGTTATGTACGAATATGGCGAATGAATCTACAGAACCAAATGTATGTACAGAAGAATCGGCGGGAAGGATTTAGCCATCAGATTGCAGGAAACCATAAAAACTTCATAATTAGTGTGACACCAATCACCACAGGACACCTTTTTACATAACTACAACATTCAGTACAAAGAATCGATCGATAGAATTGACGATTCAGCACAAAAGTCCAAATTTTGGGTCAAAGGGCAATACAAGTAACCAAGTAATCGTGCGCCTGTACCACTCACTGTACTGCACTACTACGCTACATCGACTGCCTGGTCACCGTAGCATTGCCATGAGATCGTCCGAACTAGATGGATGCACCTTGACCGACCGCAGCAGCGACAAGTCGAAAGTGCAGAACGAGGCACCGTGTGCCAGGTTCGAGTTGGTCGGGGGTGTAAAAGCGGTGCAGCGTGGCGTGGAGGTCGGCGAGGGTCGGAAGGCCTTCGCCGTTGGCATGGTCCAAGGTCAAGTCTTGGATGTTGATGTGTTCGATGGCTGTGACGAACAGATACGCAAACGGGGTGTTGGTGGCGTCGGTGACGGCGACTACCGTCGAGAAAGGAAACATGGACGCGGCGAGAAGGGACGTAGCGTCGTCGTGCTTAGGATCAGACTCCAAGCGGATGGTGAGGGTTTTGGTTTGGTCCACAGAGATGGGATGCACAAACGACGAGTGGAAGTGGAGTTGCGGCAACGACCGCGACGCCAGGTCAGCACTGGCCACGGAGGAGTGCGACAGGACGCTGTGGAACAACGCCAGGTCTTGACGAAAGTGTGGATTTGGATCCACCCACGGCCGACTCAACCTGGAATTGCAGTGCATGGGCATTCCAGAGTGGGCGGTCAAGGAGAAGATAGGGTTCGATCTACCTGATGCGGTTCAAGGCGTCGGTGACGTCGATGTCGTTCGTGGCCATGAGGTAAGCAGCGACAGCAGAAGCAGACCGCGACACGCCTGCAATGCTATTGCAGGGACAATGAGATTGGTCGTTCTAAGGGATGGTACCAATGCACGAGGATGTTGCCTTGGTCGTTATTGGCAAAGAACTGGTTGATGCAGTCCACCAAGAATGGAAGTTGGCTAAAGAGTGGAGCATCAAGGTCGTCTTCTAGATCCACTCGAACGTGGTGCTGGACCTGATCCAGTGGCAAGCTGGTCGTATCGTACACGCTCAACAGCGTGAGCACCATCGTAATGTTCTTGGCCTTCAGTCCCGAGGCATTCATCGCCGCGTCGATAGAGCCGAGGTAGATACGCCCAGTGATGTGCATCGGCATATCGTCAACCATGTCCTCCACCTCCTCAACTTCGTCGTCGTACTCGCCATCGTAATCGTCATCATGGTACACCTCGTCGTCCGCCATCGCGTTGTTTGGTCGAGACTCTTATAGTATTATCCGGTATCCGGATAAGATCGTCCATTCACATAGTCACTTGTCATTATTATCTTTTGCAATCGCTCTCGTAGTCCTCAAAGTCGTCGTCGTAGGCGGCATGTTCGCTGTGAGTGCTCACGTTGCTTCCATACATCCTCCTCCTGGACGAGTTGTTGTCGTCACCTTCGATGATCTCCTGGATGTCGTCATCTTTCGCGGCCTTGGTCCCTCGGTAAGCCACTAAGGGCCGCATCCCTTTCGTCACGGCCGCAAGTGATACGCTCTCGTCAATCTTCACGTCGCCCAAGGTCGGTCCGGATTCGTCGAGTCCATTGTCGTTGTCAACGTCCGCAGCAACATGCTTGTAGCTTCCGTCGACAATGTCCTCTTCGATGTCATCTCTCTCAATCGTCGGACGACGGCGTCGACTTCGCTGTTCCACGAGCTCTGCCTCCCGCAGCTTCATGAAGAACGGATGTTCCACGCACTCTGCCGCCGTCATGCGCTTCCTCGCATCCAGCACGACCGTCCGCGTGATAAAGTCGACGGCATCGGGTGGACATGTGGCGCCGATCGCGTCTTGAAGCGAGTGCGTGGGGTATGTTGTAGCCTTGGCATTCAACGACACCCCTTTGGGCAGTCTCGACGACAACGACGGCGGCAGCGGCCCCAGCATCTCCTGGATCAACTTGCTACGCGATCGTCACGATCCGTTTTCACTCATCACGACGAACGTACATCTGATCCATTTGGTTTTCTCCGCAAAAGAGCGGCCGCCCGAGCAGCATTTCACACACGACGCACCCGACGCTCCACATGTCGGCACTGTACGAGTAGTTGGTAAGCCTACTCCTGTGTGTGAGTCCCTCTCGTCCCCCGTTGATTACTCCGGAGTAAACTTGCACAGGTCCAATGTATTCTCCAGAGTCTGTCGTTTGTACGAACCGCAACTCTTGTTCCGGGGGCCGGTACCACCGCGTGGCCACGTAATCCGACAGCGCTTCGCCGTCGAATTGGATGGTTCGCGCGACGCCTGACGAAAGAAGGGCCTCAATAGAACCAACGGTACAAAGCAAACAATCGACGTACCAAAGTCACACAGCTTCACCATGCCCTTGTCGTCCAGTAGAATGTTGTCGGGCTTGATGTCTACGATTGATTTGTCGTGATAACGTCATTCATTATTCGTCCAGGATAACGTCACTACTAAAAAGCACCACCTCGGTGGATGATTTTGTTTTGGTGGCAGCAATATATAGCTTTGCACAGCTGGTACGAAATGGCCCGTACGTGGGCGAGGCGCAGGCCGTGCTTGGCCTTGGCGATGATCTACAGCGTCGTCACGGTCGGAGACGCATCTAGAGCATACCTTGGACAGTGTCGAAGGGGCGTAGTCGAACACGAGATGGAGGAACCCGTCGCCGCGGAAGCTGTAGCGGAAGGCAACGATGTTCGGGTGGTTCAGCATCGAACAGGCTTGCAGTTCTCGCTTCGACAACATATCGTCTACATGACGATCAGCATATGTAGATGGTTCGTAGAGAAAGAAAACCTGTGAGGAACTTGAACTTTTTGATGGCCACGACGTCCTTGGTCGACTGCAAAACGAACAAAACGATCGATGGACAGCTCAGTCGTGTGCAGGATGTGGAACACTGGTAGGCGGTACCTTTTCGATGGCTTTGTACACGATCCCATACGTCCCTTCCCCTATGATCTTCTCCACGGCGTACCGCTCCATCTTGGTGCACCAGCCATGCACCAAAAAAGTATGAGCAGTTTCATGCAGTTTCAAAGCCAGCCAAAGACAGTTTCAAAGCCAGCAAAGACACAATGTCTAGGTCTATGTACCGCCGAGCTAGATCATTCTGGCTTGCCTTGGTGACATCCCCATCAAGAGCGTCAAGGGTACGCAGGCGACTCTCTTGCCAGTGATCGTTCTTTGATCATCTCCTACATGTCCTGTCTTCGCAATGAGAAAGACGCACATTTCAAATCGCACTTAACCAGCATGCATACATTTCTACTAAGTATTTATTAGGCAAACGAACTTAGAGAGTATTTCTTTTCTGAAACCGGATACTATGGCCAATAAAGTACGATTTCCATTGACTCGGCACTGCCTGGACACAAAATCCACGCCGCCGTCGCCGCCACAACACCATCATGGACCTGTTCAAGCCCAAGAAGAACCCCGAGAAACTCGCCAAGCACTTGAGGGAAGCCATGGAGAACCCCAGTGCTCCCGTCAAGCCGGACAAGAGTGGAAAGGTAGATCGAGTGTGCTCCACCTTCTGCCCACTGATGCGGAAATGGTGTACGATCGAAGGTAGTTGATATCGTGACGAAGCGACTGCAGCAAATCAAAGTGATGTTGTATGGCGAAGTGGTACGTACTTGCGAACCCGTGGATTTGTTAAGGGTGTTGTACACAGGGCCAAGATGAGTCGAGTCCCCAGAAATGCTCGCAGTTAGCGGCGCTGTTGATAGCAGACAACGCGTTGCCGCGCCTGGTGCTGAACCTCGCGGGGCTGCCGTTCGAAGCTCGAAAGCACGTGGCCCAGATCTACAACAACTTCATTCGGCGCGACTTGAGTGGATTCGTCACGTACATCGAACGCCAGCCGCAAATCATGTCGACGCTAGTGCGTGGGTACGAGAACGCCGACATTGCGCTCAACTGCGGCACCATGCTTCGTGAAGTACGTATACCCATCTCTGTATGCAAACACGAATAATGATGCCATAGCACTCATGGAGCAGCTTCTTCTTTGTCTAGTCGATTCGGCACGAGGCGTTGGCACGACAAGTACTCTACTCGGACGACCTGTGGAAGGTACGTCGGCCGCATCTATCGGCACCACACGACCTTCTTCCTCTGCCTAGTTCTTCGATACGTATGTGCACTTGCCCAACTTTGACGTCGGGTCCGACGCGTTTGCATCGTTCAAAGACCTTTTGACCCGGCACAAGGGCCTCCTCTCAGTATTTTTCGATACCCACTTTGACCAGGTACATACTGGTCTTCCAAATATATATATATATTATAATGTTATGGAATTTGTACATAGTACCATCGTGGTATTATATATTCTGACAATAAATATATATATATATATATTAACGTGGCATTTGTACCTATCATTGTGGTCTTGTTCTTTGTGTAGGTGTTTGAACAATACAATCGCCTGTTGTCGTCGGAAAACTACGTGACACGACGCCAGTCCCTCAAGGTACAGGCGGCAGACAAATATATACTTCCACTATGACTATATGCTGTATATTCCGTAGCTGCTGGGGGAAATCTTGCTGGACCGGTCGAACTTTGACATCATGATGCGCTACATTTGGTACCGTTGTTACTTGTATACTGGAATGTTCCTAATGCGGTCGTGGGTAGCAAGCGCGACAACCTCAAGATGATGATGAACCTGCTGCGCGACACGAGCGCCAACATCCAATTCGAAGCATTCCACGTGTTCAAAGTGTTTGTGGCCAACCCCAAGAAGCCCAACGAGGTCACGCAAATCCTACTCAACAACAAGGACAAGCTGATTGCGTACTTGGAGAAGTTTCAAAACGATAAAGGTGGAACTACGAAGTACTACTACTAAACGAGTTGACGAACGACCACTTGTGTAGACGATTCGCAATTCGTGGAAGAAAAAGCGCTGTTGATTCGCACGTTGGGCACGCTGGAGCTCGCGGCGGAAGACCCGCCCAATGGTGTTGTGATGATTGATGCTGTGCTGTCAAAAGTAACGTCGTCGTGTGTAGAGGCAGCCACTACCAAGGACCAAGTCCCCACCGCATAGAGTTAGCGTACCAGGGACGTTCAGATAGTATGGGCAACCAACCACGTACTTCGTGACAATGAGATTTGTATGTACTGTCTGTCATGTCACTGTTCGTTCGTTCTATCGTGGGATTGAAGGTCAATTTCAGATCGGGAATGGACTAGCCAATGAAAAGCCACATGCATACAATTCCAACCAATCGTCGAATACTATCTCTTTGAGCTTTTTATCCAATCAGCGTTGACAAGACAGGAGGAACATTTCATTCCATCACCTACACAATATATATCAATGGTTAGACATGTCCCCCCTCCTCTCCCGCGAGGTGAAAAGCGCGCCAGTTTTCAAATTTCCAAGCGAGAGAACAGTGGCAATCGAAGCATGGGACGCGACGCTGAACGATCTGTCCCTTCTCTCGACGGAGTTCATGCCGTTGGCGGGAAGTAGTATGCAGTCGGAACTCATTCGTGAAAAGGAAAGCCCATGACGACGTCGACAACGCTGCTCCGTGGTGTGGCGTGCACCTACGAGACGTTCCCGTCCTACCATGTCCTGAGCTTGCTGGTGAACAACGAAGATGGTATCCCCATCTTCCAGCCGACGTTAGTTGAAAACGAAGTCTACCGCTTTCTGCGAGCCTTGCATATCCTTCCAACCGTGCCGAAACAAGCAACGACGACGTCGATCTCCCAAGCGCACCTTGTGGGGCAGTATATCAATGACGGGGTTTCAACAGCGGGAATGTCGATGGACGTGATGGCCTACTTTGGGAAGCAAGCGGCAGTGCAGCACCAGTTGACGTTGGATGGATGGTGGGCCATGAACCTGTCGAAGCACATTGACAAGGACGAGGAAGGAGTGTATGTGGTGGTTCAAGGCTCAAAGGACGACGCGGGTGGAATGCGGGTGGTACTGTTTGCGTGGTTGAAGGAAGAATCGTTTGAACCGATGTTTTTGCGAGAGCGGGCGACGTATGTGCTGCGATTTTTGACGACGTTGACGTCAAATGTGGTGGGGTGTCTGACAGAACGAGACGTGGTCCAGGCCAAGCTGGCTTTGTGCGCTGGGGAAGCAGGCTGCGTTGGCTCGGCAAGCAAGAAGTATTCCGTGTCGTTTTCCATCCAAACAGCCAAAGTGGTAGAGGAAAAGGTGGAATGCCGCGCCAAGTACACTGCTGGATGGGGCGAAGCGTTTGAAACGGCCACATTGATCCCAAGCCAAGTAGAGGTGTCGTTGGTGGTGGTCAAGTCCGACCGCAGTATTGCCACGAAGCACAACCATCGGCAGATGAAATCACACGAAGACTTTGCCGCGTGGTTGAAGGAGCGCCTGAATACCCATGTTGTGACGTTGGACTGTCCAGTGCCGCGGAATTGGATGGCGAGCGCTTTGAAAGTGCACGGACTCTTCCCAGAAGAAGCCGTGAACGGCGTGACGCCGGGAATGATTGAAGACGCTGTCGTGGTGGAGGCGGAGGGCAAAGTCATTTCCGAACTGACGATGATGCGAAAGCGATGTGAAGAAAATGCGGCCATTGTGTTTCACGTCAAGCTCGAAGGATCTGCGCAAGAAATGGCGGCAAACGAAGCCTTGGAAAAAGACCTGGCGATGTTGAAAGGCTGGTACTTGGCATTGGGTCGCTGGCCCCCGGGAAACCTGCTCAACTATGGAGATCGAATCCACGCGTACGTGAACACGGAATATGTGAATGTTTTGAGCCAAAGTCAGGCGCCAAAGGACCTGTGGTGGAGTTCACGGTTGTGGAGTGTATTTGTTGGACGGTCCCAGCGCTTGAGCTTCCCCTACCAATCCGATGATGCCACGGCAGTTCAAACTTTGCAGAACGTGTTGGAACTTGCCACTCGATGGCATCGCGATTGGTGCCGCATGTTGCATATGGCTACGACCGACATGGAAATGTTTCGATTCCTCGTCGCGCAGGAACGAGCTGAAAAAATGAAAAAGATGGACACGAACGCCCTGATCAAGAACCACAAGAGCGAAATCATTCACGACGCTTTCAGATCCATGGTGGAAGACAAGAATGGAAGCCAAAGCAGTCGGCTCGAGCTTGTGGTTTGCCGTTCCCACCAGGACAAGATCTGGTATGAGGAGCAATGCGTGCAAGACAAGGCAGAACTTGTGCGGCTGTACGAGTGTACTGAGCACGCGCCGAAACCGAAGGGGTCCATCACGCTACCAGTGCACTCGAAACTGGTGTTTGTGTGCCGCGTGGACGACATGACGGTACTGGTGTACACCCGAGCGGGCACTGGCACGACGGAAACCCATGTTGACGCGTATAAAAAGTCGAACTTTTCCAAGCCAGTGCTCGTTCGAACATTTCCCAAGGAAGCGCTGCATTGCGACTTTGATGCTGGCCATCGTATCCTGGTCATTCTCCATTCCAACACGGTGGTGGATGTGTATGCGTTCAACGAGTCGTACAAGGTGCTGGAGCGCGTGTCGTCGTTTAACTTGGCGCTGTTGCGGTTGGAGAGTCCGTACAGTTGTTTGATTGCGTTTGGCGGCGACAACAACGGCGTGACTGTCGTGGATCACCGTGGCTACATGCAGTCGTACTTTATCCGGTCGCGCCAATTTTCCAAGTTGGTGGACCACCTCGTTGTCGTGAACAACACGAAAGTGGTCAAGGTGCAAGGCGGCGCGATCGTGCTCTTGCTCACCGAGTTGAGCGGCGCTACCGAACACTTGTACCCCGTGCGCGTACAAACGCTTCTCACGGCGGACAACACGATGCTGCCGGAGACCGTCGTAGAGCTGCCGACGGCGATGAACTGGCCAGACTGCTCGGTGCAATGTGTGGGGTCGACATTGGTCTGCTTTGATCCGCTGTCCACCAAAGTGCAAACGTGGGAATTGGACATTGTCACGGGCAAGACGGCGTGGCAATTGCAAGGCTCCCAGTCGGCACGCGGGGGCGACAACCCCTTGGAAGCGCATCCGTTGTGGTCGCTTTTTCACTTGTTTGAGAAGTTTCCTGTGCGCAGCCTCGTGTCGACTGCCTCGCCCGAGAGCCGACTGGTGTCGGGCAACTTGCACCTGTACGTGCCTGGTCTGGCCAACCACCCGGCGATTTCGAACTTGCTGGTGTCTGTCATGTTCAAACTTCGCGGTTTGAACAAGGACTTGTCGTCGCTCAATCTGCCGAGAGACTTGCACTGTCATGGCACGAGTGCGGTGCCGTGGAGCGGCAGCAGTGTCGTCGTGTCCAAGTGGGTGTTGGAGTTGCTGGGGTTCGTACCCGTTCAGATCTGTCGCGCCCGGGAGAACCAGTTGGTCGTGCTCTCGAACGGCGAAGACGCCGACAACATGCAGGCGGCGACCGCCACAGAAGCCCACGAAGTGGCCAAGTCGATTTGGTTTGGACCGATTTCGAGTGTGTTGCAGCGGTGGACGGGCCCCGTGGTCGTGTTGACGTCGATGGGCAAGCAGTCGACGGGGAAGAGCTACTACCTCAACCACCTCACGGGCAGTTCGTTTGCCATTTCCGGCGCCCGATGCACCGACGGCGTGTGGCTGACGGCGCGACTGATGGGCTCGTGCTTGCTGGTGGTGTTGGACTTTGAAGGGTTGGGGTCGTTTGAGCGGTCGGCGCAGGAAGACACGTTTTTGTCGGTGCTGAATGCCGCCGTGTCGCGGCTGACTGTGTTTCGCATCGAAATGCGCTTCGACAAGGACATTGACGCGATGTTTTCCAAGTTCCAGCAAGGCGTGTCGTTGCTCAAGGGCGACCCGCGCTTGTTTCAAGGCAAGTTGTACTTGAACGCCAAGGACGTGAACCCGAACGACCAAAACACGGTCATTTTCGAGTTTCAATCGAAGCTGGAAGCAATTTTGAACGAGAACCGCGCCGAGAACTTTGTCACGTCCATGTATGGCGGCAACGTTGAAATCACGTGCTGCCCGCCCTTGGGCAACGTTGGGTACCACGAAGCGCTGCAAGAAGGCTTGGAGCTGCTGGTCAAGGCGCGCGAGTCGGTGTCGTACAGCAGTGGCCTCGACTTTTACGACTGCTTGACGATGGTGTTGTCGAAGATTAGTCTGCTGGATTGGACGTGCATGGAAGACAACTTAAAGGAACGGCTAGCGATGGAAGTGCGGGGCCACGTCCGGTCGGCGCTCCGGTACGGCAAGCTGGCCCACTGCAGTCTGGTCGATGGCGACGCCGCGTCGTACGTGGACAAGTGGCTGACGCTGCTCTCCGACGCGGACATGCTGCAAGCGTTGCCGGCCGACGACGTGATGGACTTTCGGTTGGACTTGAATCTCAAGGCGGAGGAGTTGCTGGGCGAGGCCAAGGCGGTGATGATGCACTTCCTGAAGGACTTCCTCGAACACATTGACAAGTCACGCAGCCCGTCCGTGGAAGGTCAATTCGACTCGGTGTGGACGTTTTTGCTGTGGCGCCGGGAACGCCGGGTGCGTCTGTGGGTGGCCAGTTTGCCGTCGGTGGGGCGCGAAGAAATGGACGACTTGGATGTGTGTGCAGTGAAGCTCAAGCAGCTGCTTCGCCGATGCCAGCACACGTGCACGGAGTGCAAATTGGGCTGCTTTGAGTGCTTTTTGCACGACGCGAGTGTCCCCCACGACTGCGGGACCAGCCACAAGTGTGTGGGGCAATGTTCACACTGCTCGTTGTTGGGCGACGCCGAAGCGTGCTCGTACGTGGCCGGCCATGCCGGTCTGTGCAACTGCGGGCTGAAAGCGCACACGTGCCACGAAACGTGTGCATTGGCGGGAGCGGCCAACTGCGACCAAATGTGCAGCTTGGAAGTGGGCCATTCACTGGCGCACTCGTGTGGCGTCATATTGCACTGCTGTGGACAGCCCTGTGGGGCCCCCAACTGCCGCGGCCAGTGCATTTTGCCGTTTGAAAACGCCCACGACGTGCACCAGTGCGGCATGAACCGATGCCAACAGCGCTGCGTCATGCCGGACTGCGGGAACACGTGCGCCGATCCGGATCATTTCCATGCAGACCACGAGAAGCACCTGTGCGGACAAGACCACCGATGCACGTTTGACTGCACGGAGGATGGCATATGCGAGATTAAAGTGCACTTGGAGAAGGCCACGGAGACGTTTGCAGGCCAGCGCGGGACGTTTGACTTCTGTCGCCAGGAAATGAATGGCTCGAAGCGCAAGTGCAGCGAAATGATCGCCGCGTCCGCCACCTCCCACACGGACACTACTTCCCATCGCTGCGACAGCGCCATCCACTACTGCGACGTGCGGTGTCCGTGCTGCCAGTACTTCTGCGACAAGGCGTATGGCCACTCGGATCTGCACCACACGAGTCATGGCAACATGAAGGACACATACTTTGTGTCGGATACGGAGGCGGTGGACATTCAAGACCGCAAGTACACGGCGGGTGAGCAAGGCGTGGCGGAGATGTGTCCTTTCTTTTGCTCCAAGATGGGCCGAGGCCACGTGCATTTTATGCCATGTCTGCACAGCGCCAACTCGTGTGTGTACACCTCCACGGACGGTCGCCAGCACTGCACCCTCCAGTTGCAGCCGCATCCCACGAAACCGATGGATGAAGTGTTGCACGAGACGTATTGGAAGACGTTGGGCTGGGAAGACCCGGTGTCGAGCGCGGCGGAGAAGGCGGCGTTCAAGCTGTGCCCGTACAAGTGTGACGCGTCGGACCACACGGCGGACGCGCCGTCGTACTGCATTTTGGACGCGTGGCACGACGTGATGGACAAGCACGACCCGCGCGGCCAGCAGCCGGGCCACACGATTGTCCAAGGCCATTTGTTTGCATGCAAGCACTTTTCATCGCGTGGGTTGAGCCATCACATTTTCGTGTTGGACGCGTCGGGGTCGATGAATGGCTCGCCGTGGCATACGCTGACGGACGCCGTGCACGGGTACTTGCAGGAACAAGTGCACAAGAAGGGCGTAGACTGCGGCGACATTGTGTCGATTATCACATTTAGCTCGCGCGGTGTGATTGTGTTTGAAGGGCAGCCCATGGCGAATGTAGTGAACGCGCAAATCCCATTTCAAGGGCAAGGCACGGACTTTGACTCGGGGTTGCGATGCGCCGTGGAGTTGCTGTCCCGCAACCACCACGACAAGTTCTCGCCGGTGCTGCTGTTTTTTTCCGACGGGTACCCGAACACGACCAACAGCGGCGTCTACTTGGCCGACCACATTGTCAACACGTTTGAGCGCAACAACTTGATGACGTACTTGGTCGGGTTTGGCAACATGAACTTTGTGTGCTTGGAGCAGTTGGCCATTCGACTCAAGGGCGCGTTCCACCGGGCGATTTCCGACATTGACCTGCTCGACACGTTCAAGGCCATCTCGGTGTCTGTGCATTTGCGGTCGGGGCTGGTCGCCAACACTGCATAGCGATCATCTCCCCCTCCGACATCGTACTAGTATGTTGATTAATTTCATGGTATATATTTCATTTCCGCACGTCCCTTTAAAGTTAGTACTAACCACAACAGGCACGCCAACGATGGCTTGACGACTTCGTTCCACAATCCTCACAAAGCAGCAGTGTCGGCATCCATCAAGTGGAAGTTGTCAAGACGTTTACACCATTGTAGAATCACAGGCTCGTTTCGCCCTTCGCACACAAGTGGGGGTCTGGCGGCACGAAGTGATGGATTTGGTGTTTGCCACGACTCGTTATAAGCACCAACCAATCCATCATTTCGTGCTGCCAGAGCATTGACGATGATGCGGGCGATAATTGATCGGAGGCCAATCTTCCCACGGAAGTCCGCCGTAACAAAGAGGCAAAACGTGTGCCTCTCACCCTATCCGTCGAATGGCACTTTGCCTATATGCGTTTGCATGCAAAGAATATCAATGCCTTGTTAGGTTTCTGTGTTTGCGAGCTGCTGTCCCCAACTTGGACGACTAAGGTGCAAACGATTCGGCTATGGGTCTTGAACTACCTTGGGCAAATATTGATACCTATGTATAGTTGAAAGTTGTTTGTAAGTTTAGCTAACGTTATCTACTGTCCATGACCTCACCATAGAGTGGACGTTTCATACCTCGCATCGTCCACTCCACGGTAAGGCCATGTAGCTCATGTCAGAATCGTCTGCTAACTCTCCTCCATTGAATTTTGTACGTACATACGTTTAAGTAGCGAATTTTGGTTCGCGCTTTGAGTGAGCCTTTGGACTGGTAAATTCAGGTATCTTGGTCCGCAACAACAAGCTGTTGTCGTGGATCTACACCGGGTTCTGCTCGCTCGGAGTCGCGTTGATCGGGAACATAGTCGCGACGCCGCGCTTCAACCGCAACGACATGTTGCTCGGTAGTGGCGCCGTCGGTTCGTCCTGGAAGTCGCCGGCGCGTCAACGATAAGTGTGGCGGTGGCTGCTGACGGCTTCGGCAGTGGAGGATGCCTCGTGGTCCATCATGCAATGGACTTGTGAAGTGCACACAACGATGTGTTGCCACAAAACATGGCACTTTCGCCGGCTTTAAAATATTGCGTGTATATATTTTGGCCAATTACTACGTAGTAGACTGAAGTACTTGAACTACTGCACCTGATTGGATATAATTCTGCATATCACAGTGCAAACCTCGGTGTGGCTTACTTCAGAAACTGTCACAAACTTTATTTGTGACAGTGAAATCAAGAGCCCATTAATTGACCGCTCCTACGACGACCTAACCCCTTTGCACCCATTTTGGGCTGTTTTCATTGGCTATAATTCATTATTCTCAGATTTTGAGAGCTTTACAAACTCCAAGTTAAGGTACTTGGGTCGTTGAACAGGCCTCATCTGGGAGCGGCACGGCCTACGGCCGCTTTGCCCGACGAGAGGAAAAGATAGGAAGTCCCCGTGGGGCACGATGGCGTCGCGCCACAGCGCTCGCTTTGGTGCGAGTCGCACTACACTCTATCTACGCTATAGAAGTCCTGGTTAATGGGGAAAAAGTGGGCAAAAAGCTGGGGTTGAACTGGTGACCCCGTCGGACCCCATGTTCAAACCGCTAGACCATGATGGCTACTAGACGTTCTTTAGAATTGCTGTTAAGCTTACAGTTAGCATATACAAAAAGAATCTGAGTACAATGAATTATATCCAATGAGCAGCGACCACACCCATTACTACAGGGTTAGGTCGTCGTAGGAGTGGTCAATTAATGAGCTCTGTGATATCATCCGGAATTATAATTCACAGTCAATTGTGTCACAAATTTTGTGGAGGCGAAAAATACGTCTCATAATCCGGAAAATGCAGTGAAGTATTGATATAATTACCGGAATCGTAGTGCAGGAGGCACTGCATTTTCGATTTCTTTGCAACAAAAATATTAATTTTATTGGAAACGACATACAATATCTAAGTTGTACAATTCGAAAAAATAATATCGCGATGTAGGAAGAAAACGTAGTGCACACTGCACAATGTTACCAGCAGCCAATGAAAAGTCACAAAAACCCAATGTATGTGGCCAATTGAATCGATTCAAAGGATCCCAAACGACGCCACTGCGATGCCTCGGCAGGAGGATTTCACCATAGCCAGTGCTCGGCGAAAACGCATCTCCCAACAAACGAGAAGTGGATACACATCTGGAATCAACCAAATAAAGAAATGGATTGTACAGGCAGGACTGCACGACCTTCTGGGTCCATGTAGTGAGAGCCGAGACGGAACGACGCTGGACCTGAATCACTTCACCTACCAGCACTTCCTCTCCTTCATAGAATGACCAGTCCAAAACAAGGATGTCGAGGTGGGAACAATCAGCGGGTATCTCAGTGCCATCCAGAGCCTTTACAAGGACCAAGGTGTACAATTACCAGTGGAATATGGCGATGACATCAAGGAGATTTTTTCGGGTATTATATATATTAATATTTTTGAGCTTTTGAGTTATGGCAATTGTAATAGGACTACGAAAGAGCGTGGCCCATGGGCTTCAAACTGGTGAAAAAGTGTACCGAGGAAAGCGCCCGATGACGTTTGATGTTTCGAGTCGCTGTGCGCAAAGAGCATGGCACTCAGCGATGGTGGCTTCGCGCATTTGTTCCTGGTTCTGTCGTGGAACCTTATGTGTCGCTCGAAATCAACAGCGACAGTCCGGTATGACACTATGTCTTGCTCAGGATAGTTATGTTTGCATATAGGTTCGATCACATGACGTGTGAGGATGACAGCATTGGTTTCACATTCTTTAAAACCAAGACCAACCAGGAAGGTTAGAATTGGTATATGTTTGTTTATGCGAAATGTGATTTCATATATTTAATTAGGAACGAAAAACAAGGATCCAAAGCACTGTTACTCCAACCCGTTCAAACCGGCGACATGCCTCTTTGTCGCTCTGGAGCTCTATCGTTCTTGCAACAGCTTGTTCCCTGGTTCAAATCAAAAGGTGATTAGTCATGTCACACTCCAATTTAGATTATTTAATTAGGATCGCTTTGGAAAGTCACTTGCTGCGTTGGTTTGCGGGGGCAGCTCGAAAGCAAAGAAGGACATTGGGACTCACTCCATTCGGAAGGGTGCTGCTACGTTTGTGTCATCGGGCAGCACCGGGGGTCCGTCAATTATCAGTGTGTGCCTTCGGTGTGGCTGGTCCCTCGGAAATGTCATGGAGAGGTACTTTCGGTATGAGGCAGCTGGTGACCAGTTCACTGGTCGATGTGTGGCTGGACTACCACTGAACAGCGCTGACTTTGCTGTCCTGCCTCCACATTTTTCGGGTGGTAACGACTTAGTGGTTGGCCAGGCTGTCCAGATTATGTTTCTGTCCATTTGCTCCGAAATCCACCTGGTTCCAATTTTACAGCTCATTTTGGCGAGTTTGGTGTATCACCGAAATTTTTTGATTGGGTCCTTGCCTCCTCACCATGCCCTGCTGTCCACATCGCTGTTTACGAACCCAGACCTGTTTGCCAGTCTTACTACTATTGTGATATCGGGCTCAACATCGTCATGCTTGCGTGCCAACGGAATCCCTCCTTATGTTGAAATGTACAGGAAATTGGAAAAAAACGAGGTGATTTTGACATCCATGCCTGCCAAGATTTTGGACGGCGTGCGGAGAATTGTCGAAGACAATGGTGTGACAGCTGGCAACATTACACGATCGGTTCTAGAGTCGTCTATTGCCAGTGCCTTGTCGTTCATCCAACAGTCAAATAGCGCCATGTCCCCCGCACAACAATTGCCAATTGATTCGCAGCCTCTGGTGTATGAGCCATTTCACTGGGTTTCCTAGTGTCGATGCTGCAACAGCATGGAAATTATGGTGGCATGGAAATATTCGCGAAAAAGTCTTGCCATATCGAAAGATTGATACCCAAGATTTGACCACCCGAGCTGCGAGAAACATGTTTTACGAGTGGAAATTTGTCCTGGAGAAACTAACAGACCATTTTGTGTCAGTATCAGGTCGGAACATGGCCCTCAACCCCTCGGAGCAAGAGGTCTCCACGTCGTTCGACACGGCGCGAGGCCTTTTCGACCAACTCTGCGGTGAAACATCAGCGAAACGTGTGCGGCGTGACGGGCAGCTCAAGATCACGACGCTTGTCCGTCTTCTCCGCCAACTCGAGCCTTCCAAGACGCCTCGAGTCTTCAAGAAGCGCAAACGCTCGGAGCAGCGAGCAGGCAGCCAGTCGACGACCATGCTCTGACGTGTACGAGGAGGTTGAATTAGTTTACAGAGGAGGTGGAATGGCAATCGTACATTGGATGTGTTTGCTTGTGCTTGTAGATGGTCCAGGGCACAGTAGACACTGGCAGGACGTGGAATGACTCGGCCGACTTGCAATGTGACCTGAAGTTGGAATGGTTCTTCCGTCGCATTCATGAATTCTAGCCAATCAAAAACACTCTCAACAGGGATTGGCTGTAAGAATCGTTGTAGTGCAGGTTGCATTACGTTTTCCAACCACAACACAACAAGTTTGTGCCGACAGTGTCGTATTTTACCCGGATACCGTTTACAGATATATGGAATGGTGGCTGAGCGGCAAAAAATGACGCTCTTGATGCGGTGGTGGATGCACATGGATGACGACGACGATATCGACACCTCCCTCGCGGATACAATGAGGTTATATCGAGCACAGCTCACAATAAAAGAGAGACACTATCTTAAATGTGAATCTCTCACGTCTCCTCTCCACAGCGCATGGCGATATACACAGCCCAGATCCCAAGCGCATACATCGCCACCGTCTCAATCGCACCCAACGACTTCGACGACGTCTTGCGCGAGTTCTCCAAGCACTACCAGATCAAATCCGGCTTTGGAAAAGCAGGGAGACCACCCAAGCTGCCCTTTAAACACCAAGCGTTAGCCCTGGTGCTGCACTTTTACACCGCTGCTTGTGAACCCAAGACCCTCTGTGAAGTGTTTGGCATACCTCCGTCCACGCTGTCCGCTACATGGCGAAGGCGGAATAAGCCCTTGCAAAAGCACTGCGCTGCCTCCGTGATGCTCAAGTCCGATACCCAAGCAAGCAACTCCAACGCAAATGGGCCATCAAAGTCCGTGCCAGAGAGAGCCTTGTGCGTGGTGTGTGGGGCTTTTTAGATGGCAAGAACTACAAAGTGCGCAAGCCCTCATCGGCTGACCTGCAGAATGCGATGTACAA